TGAGAGGAAGGGACAGAGGCTGGCTTGCTGGCTTGTGTTTTATTGTTCTATTGCCTCATCTTTTTTTTGTTTTTGTGTGTTTTTTTTGTTTTTTTTTGTTTTTTTCACACATCTTAGATATGGTTGGCTGCTCATGTCCAAATATACCCGTCTGCTAGGGTGGTTAGCTAATTGTTGTTGCAGACATCTACTCAGGCACATTTATGTTTGCTCAACACCCACAAAGCCAACTTCCGGTTTATACTGCAACTGTGCTGACCTTAGTTGCAGTTTCTGGAAGAGTGTGCATAACCCGGCATAATCAACAGTTTGTATAGAGCCAGTATGTTCAAACCCTCAGTCACGATGACTTGTGCTAGCACAGCCATCGACAGCTTCTGAACAGTTCCGTCTACCCAGTTTCACTCAAGGCTTATGTCTAGTTTTTCAGGCACTTCCCAACTGTGTTAATCATCTTCCCAGGCCAATATTATTAAGAATTTACCTCCCTAAAAAATCAACTCTGGTGAGATTCAAACCCAGGTGATGTGGTCAAAATGCTAACATTCTAACTACTCAGGCCACACACACACACACACACACACACAACAATGGAGTTAGGCACTATGGTATTAATATTTAAATGTTTGTCTAGTAGCACTTAGAACTTGCTCTTTTCTTTCATCAGAGATAAGATTTATTTAAATTAAAAAAAATTAAAATATTGTAGAGTTTCCATTCATGTATGAAATATTTAATTATTGCAATAATAATTAGAATACTTTTATGATGTAGTAGACACACAGACTTTTGAACAATGTCTTTGGTTGATTCCCTCTGTATCTATTCACAGACTGTAAAACAAGATTTTTATTTTTCATTTTCACTATATTTTCCATGAATAAATAAATTGAAACTATCTTGGATGATTTTCTGTTTTGATTTACTTTGAAACATTATACACTGATTCTTTCAGATCAGTTTCCTTTTTATTGTTTTACTCTCTTTTTTGACTGATGCACTCTTGTAATTTTTTAGGTTTTAGAATGTTGAATAGAACTCCTTATTTGGCATAATGTCCTCATTTTTGTTGCTTTTGTCACAAATCAGTTGCGATATGTGGCTTGTAATAGTGTTGAGAGGCTTGCAGTCCTTGATCTTTTGTGTAGCTGACTGATGTCACCTCACAATACTGAGCTAAAGTGTCAATGGTTGCACACTTGATGTGTGAAGAGATTTGTGTATGCAGCTGAAGTGAGTTACATACACAAGTGATTTGCTAATGCATGCAAATTGACCCTGCCATTTGTGCTGGCAATTCTTCAGCTAATATGACGTCCAGTAGAAAAAAAAAATACAAGCAACATCCAGCTACTTTCTTTTTGGATGACAAGTAAGGTTGCTTCTTGATTCTTTGCAACACTTTATACGATGAGACTATAATCCTCGTAAGAGAAAACATTGGTATTCATAAATGGTTCCTCATGTTGTGAAATTTGATCTGAAAAGTGCATTGCCTTGTTAACTTATTGCTATTTAAATCAGCTTATGGCCATATCATGTTGAAACCCTGGTTCTCGCAAGATCACCAAAGTTAAGCAATGTCAGTACCTATATGGGTGACTGCTTGTGAATACCAGGTGTTGTAAGCTTGGATGTAAACATAGGATGTAATGGATGACGGCTCAGAATTGGAAATCAGAGAGCAGAGTTCCAATCCCAGTCAGGTCCTTTATATTCACTTATGTGCAAATACCCTTGGGAAAGATATGAATCCACCACTTCTTTCCCCAACGATGGATTAATTATTAGGATTTGTATTTATAAATAATTATCTCCCCAAAAATTATTACACTATAAAAAAAAAATTTCTGGCTTTAAATAACCTGCAAAAAGTTGTTAAGCTGTAAAACACAAATCAATCAAATAAAACTATTTAAATCTTATAAGACCTCAAAGAAAATAATCAGTTTGGAGAAAGATCATTACAGTTCCAAAATGTGTATTTTATAAAGATATATAACGTAGCATCCTAAGTTCTCACATGAAGAAAACTATTCACAGTAGATTAAAATAAAATATATATATATATGAGATTATAGATTTTATTTCTGTTTAAATGTCTTCTGTTGGTTATTTTTTTTCTGTAGTAATAAACAATTTTTCACAAGTAGATGTACATGGATAGATGACAATAGTTGGAAAATTGCCAGTCTTTAACTTTCATAAAAGGCATGTTGGAAAGGAATCTAAGGATCTGAAGTTCATACATCAGCAGGACAGTCTTCCAAAACGGTTCTTTCCTCCTTTAACCCTGTGTTAGTCACCTCAGATTTCTGAAAATGAATAGTCTCTGGCGCCTGCCTCCCATGACATCAAAGCTACAACTGTACCACAATCCATGCTACACACCCTCGGGAAAGTTATTCCCATGACTTCGCTATTATTTTAACTTCACACTTCGGTAATGTTTATTGTTTTAGAAAGCAATGATTAGAATTGTAGTAAAGCCTAAACATATGAAAGTGAATTTGTACATTTTCTTTGTTCTTGAAATTTGACATAAAAAATAAGTACTATTTATTGTTTATTGGAATGGTTGGCAATCCATTTTTTTGTGTGCACAAAGATCCATATTTGCTAAACAGCTTTAGTCAGGGCTCTAGATTACCCTTTTTTTTTTTTTATTCTAACCATTGTCCTGAAAACCTTAACTGGTCGTCTCAAACTAATATTTTATAATTCTCAGGATGATAATTTCAAGCTCTGGTTTTAGTTGACTGATGGAAATTTGTCTCGTTTTATTTGTTTTCCATTAGTTTAAAAGTTAACCATAAATTTTTGACTGAGAATTGATAAAATCAAATACAAATTACACAAACATTTGCTTGATGAAAGAAAGTATAGTAATAATATATAACCAGTAAGAAATACTACATTCCTAACAGTGTTAATAAAAAATATAAATGCTGTATTTGACTAGTCAAAATTCTCTGCAGTTTGTAAAATTTAGCTATAATTGAGTAAAAATATTCATATTTTGTTTAACAAGCTTCCAAGACTTTAAAGTAATCCCTGTTTTCAGTTGCTCATGTTTCATAACATATATTGAAGTAAAGGATGTTCCAATAACTTGGACCATTTTTAAATGTGAATTAAGTTTAAGTGTCTAATAATTTTTTTTTTCTTTTTCTTTCAGATTTAACAATTTAAGTCTTTGCCAATTTCAACCATGGAAAGATTAACAATCAAACAAGGTGTTAAAGTTATCAAAGCCTATTACAAAAATGGATGTTCAAACAGAAATGCATTTCGTGCACTTAGTTTTTTTTTTTTTTTTTTTTTTTTTTTGTTTTTGTTTTTTTGGTCAACATAATTGACCAACCGAGAATGCAATTGGAAACGATGTAACATTGTTGTGGAGAGGTTCAATTCCTGCACTCAATGACAAATATAGGTGTCTGGATTTTCAGTGACATCCTTGTACACTGTAGCACTATTTTCAGATGAACAGCATAAATAAGCATGCAATGGTGTTTTCACATCTGCCATTGACCAAGTTTGTTTGAATTTACAGACAATTTTTCCAATTGCACTCTTGAAATTTTAATACATTGTTTGATTGTTAATCTTTCCATGGTTGAAATTGCCAAAGACTTAAGTTGTTAAATCTAAAAGAAAAAAAATCATTAGACGCTTAAACTTAATTCACATTTAAAATTGGTCCAAGTTATTGGAACACCTTTTATTTTCAAAACTTTTTGCTTGTTTTACAAGTAAGCATTACAGCCTTATTATATTTTACTCTAACAGAATAGTACTAGTTCGGGTGGTAGGTATTTTGACTTAATGATGCAACAGTTCAAAGGTTGAATTGTGAATAATGAACTTCACTTTTTCCTCCTGTTTGGGGGCGAGGACCAAGATAGAAATTTAGTTTTAAAATTTCCAGAAGTAATGGACCTGGGTCATTCTATCCTAAATCAACCAACTTTTTTTATTAGTTTAAAATCAGATCATCTTGAAATTTCACTGTATTTTGCTAAAAGCTTTCTATGAACATCTGACATTCATAGCTCCAAGGATATTGCACGTACAGAGTTGAAACTTGGTGACAATAGTTAAAATTTACTATAAATTACAGAAATATAAACAGCTTAGATAAATACTTCTATTTTTTATAATCATCTGAAAAAGGTCAAAATGTGATAAGACACTGTCCACATTAAGTCAAAATTTTTGGCACTTTATAAATTTAATAATTAAAAAAAATATGAAGCTGAAAATTGATACCCCTATAATTTTTTATGCATATTATTTTTGTTTTCATTTTACATTTGTTCCAAATTGCTTAGATTCTAAGGACCTTTTAAAAATGGGTTTTTGGATGGACTACAAAATTTTTAACAAATGAAACTAAAACTATGACATGGAAAAAAAAAAAAAAAAAAACAGGATTCCATTATTTTAAATGCATCATCAAAATAGTGAAAATGCATCACAATTTGCTCACCTTTTTAGCAATTTATTGATACTAAAAAATATGCAAAATTAAAATTATATTAAAATACTTTCTTTCTACTGGAATGAAGCAAAATTCTAAATTACAAAATTATTATTTAAATTATCCATTAAAATCTGATAGCCTGAATCTTTCCTGGTATTTCTAAGATCAAAAGTTACTCAGTGATGCCCATCTCCTCCCCAACTAACACATGAAGTTGAAATTAGGGTGCATGTTACTAACAAGAAAGAGTAACTCCTCTTGACCTATTAAAAAAAAATGGATATATGCTTTTCACAAGGGTATTATTGCAAAGTGATGACATGCTGCCTTTGCTAGAATTTGAACTTGGCTTGATGATTCTGTTTTCAATGCTGATAACACTTACACCCACTCTGTACAACCTATTATCTAAATATTTGTTTTGGTTTTATTATTATTATCATCAAAGTGAACAAAAAAAATCTCATTGTGTCTGTGAGATTTTAATTGACATATTTCTTGTGTGTATTTGCAGGGAGCAGCAGCATCAGCAGCAGCATCGAGTGTGAGTGAGGAGGAGAAAAGCGGCAATCATGGCGTCTGGAGACAAGATCACACTTACGGATGCGCTGCAGAATGTGGATGTCCTCGATGAGCTTGAGTTGCCAGACCAGCAACCCTGCATTGAGGCTCAGTCCTTGTCTCTCCACTACCAGGCAAATTTTGACACCAATTTTGAGGACAGAAATGCCTATGTGTCAGGAGTTGCAAAATACAAAGAAGAAGCGGCAGTACATGCTGACCTGGTAAGTTGAATTATCAAGTTTGTGTGATTTGTTTGTGTTGTTTCATGCTTATTTAATGCTTTGTTCAGTCTCTTAATTTGTTGTGAGGGACCTATAGATTACAAATAGAATTTTGAACTAATTGACCCATGTAGATATCACTGTTCTGAGTATTGTTACCAAGATTATGCCTCTGTTCTATCCACTATTCTTCAGAAAAACAAAACGGCTGAATATTTTTGTTTGTTATTATTTTTACTTTGGATGGAACCCCACACCCCCACCCCATAGAATCGACAACCCCTTGTCTTAAGTTAGAGAATATTGGCTGTGATTTAACCAGGAGAGGGATGGGCTCCTCCAGGTCTAATTGTCCAAGACATGTGACACATGAATGAATGACTCTTTGGTCTTTCAACCTAGATATGTGGAGGTAACTGGTCAGGTGTTTAGTTGCGCAGTGGCCTCACAACCATACGTGGTCATGCAACTGATGAAGATTTTGTTAAAATATTTTATATTGTTTTACTCAAGTTTTTGTCACTGCAGTAAAACTTGTATCAGAGTATTTTGTTTTATTACTGTTTCAGGCCTACCAGCCAGAGAAATTATTCTTTAATTACTTCAATCCTTACTTAATTAAGCCTTTATCAAATGTCAAAGGTAATCAGAAGTCATAGCCATATCTCAGCATTAGGATAGCAGATTAGGATGAGAAATCTGATAGCAGAGTTCAAATTCTGGTTGAGTTCCTTATATTAACTTATGCACAAATACCCTTGGGAAAGGTATGAATCCCCCCCCCCCCAAGCTATGTGCTAAATAGTAGGATCTGAAAAAAATTGCTATCCACCAAAAAATTAATATTCACTCACAAAAAGGAATTATTCTTATAATGCCAAAAATGATTTAGCTTTAAATAACCTACAAAAGAGTTAAGCTGTAAAAAATCAAATTAATCTCAGCATCAGAATTCTTTTCGTGATTGTATTTGGCTGGTCAAATATAATAAAAAAAAATTTATTTATTTTCCTGTCCTTGTATTTAATTAGAAACACCCTGGGGATGAAATTCATTTAGTCTGTTTATTTTCATTTTAATGTGTTTTGTAGGATTCAGTTTTTAAAAAGATTTTTTTTTCTTTCAATTAAAAGAAGAAAAAAAAAACATTCATCTTTGTGTCTATTCATAGAAAATTATATATATATACACACACACACACACACACACACACACAACTTAAAATTTGTCAATGTAAAATTAATATAAGCTTTCATTAAAAGGGGATGAAAAAAAAAATTAATGATGGGAATTATATGCCAGCCACCAATGGATTGGCTTTTGAACAGAATAATTTCTGACAAGAAGATTATATGGATTAAACTCCTGAGTGATTCACTGAAAAGTAGGTTCAGTCAGGTACACAAGTAATGTTATTTGGCCTTGTCAGTCAGGTTTACTCAGACCTCATTTTAACATAAATCCAAATTAGGAGAAAATTTTGCCAGAATTTTTAAAAACCGAAGTCATCATTATTTGCGTTTTTATTCAGACCATCATGCACATCTTGGTTGTTATACTCACAATGTTTCACCCGTTGTACCTTCTTCAGATGTCTTATCATATTTTATAATCTTTCAATCCATAAGTCAGTAGTGTAAAAAGTCATATACTCTGGTTCAGTGAAGAAAAAAAAAAAAAAACTTGACAAATGAGACAAAGATTATTAACTGATATGCAATATCTCCTAAGCATTGAAAGTGGAATGAGAACAATCTATACCTGGGAATTGAATAAAGGGTTTACTTCCAAATTCTGAGAGTGTTACTAAGTACAGCAGATGAATATGAAGAAAGCTGGAACGTACAATATCCAAAATGTGAGTATTACAACAAACAAGATGACTAGACTTTTTTTGAAAAGAAAGGCCTATAAAAAAATTTAATTGTTGAATAAAAAGGAAGAGACCTGTTTATTTAAATTACTTTCTTATTCACCTCTATCAAAGCTGACATTTCTTGATTCTTATTTTTATTATTATTATAGTTTTTCAATTTAGTCTCAAGTAGATAAGTTCATCTAAAAGTAATTTTTTTTTTATTCTCACTATATCATCTACCTATATTTATATATACACACACACACACACACGCACACACAGGATCTATACAATAAAACTGTCATACATATCTTTATATGGAATATTTTAAATAGCTGTTCTGAGTTTCTTTCTTTTTTTTTTTTCTTTTTTTTTGTAAGAAATAAAGTAATATTGAATTGGAATTTTACATTATTATTATATGATTATGGCAGCAATGCGAGTTCATTTATTTTTATCCTTGTAAATATATTCTTTTCATGATTGTATTTGGTAGGTCATATATAGTAAAAGGAATTTATTCATTTTTCTATCCTCATATTTAATTAGAAAGACTCTGGTTATTACTTTTACTGTAAATTTATTCTTCAACAGCCATAAATTCTTTGTTTGGAAAAAAAAAAAAACTTAATTAGTTCCAGATGTGGGTGGGGGGTGAATAAAAAACAGTAACCACATTTTTATTCTCTCAAAGAACATTTCTAATAAGAATCTAAAAAGTTATTTTCTCTGAAAATTGTATGAAAAATTTAATAGCTAAATAAGTGCATTATCATTTTATATGGTATAAATTAGCTTTGTCAAAATGTTGTTTGTAAACTAAGAAAGACATCAATTTTTGTGTGTGTTAATATTTAGAAATCCTTAGTTAAACAAGAAAGTTATGACATGAATCTGCTATTGTTTATTCAGTCACAATTGCAATTAAACATTGCTGTAATTTTTTCCCTCTGCATTTATCATAAATGTCTGAAGAGCAAGTTTAATTATACTGAGCATAGAATTGGTTTAAATGATTTTTGAATGCATATGAATTAAAAACAAAAGCACAAACAATAAAGGCAGGCTTTTGTTTATATTGCTCAGCAAGGCCATGTTGTCATGTGGTTCCTTGAAAAAGATATTCACCAGTAGCTTTTGTTGTCTGCCTCATTCTTGGATACCTAAAAATTGAATGTTTGTATCTTCTTTTTACTGACACCATGATGAGTAATTATTCCTGCAGAGACATCAAAGATTTTGTAAGTCTTCCCCAATGTATATTGTTTGCTTATCCAAAATGTTTTACTTATATGCTTCTTGTTTCCCTTTCATTCCCAACTATCCCTTGCTCCTTAACAGACATAAAAACACTATTCTTTTTCTTTGTGTGTTTAATTGATAATGTTTGTCAGTCCTTTAATAACCATTTAAGTAAAAAAAAAAATGTAATTAAATCAGTTTACAAAAAGAGATCACTGAAAATTTACTTCATTGTAAAAAAAAAAAAAAAATTAGTGCTAATTTGTTTTTTTTTTTTATGATGGTAGTGAATTCCTATGAAAATTAAGTAAAATTATGAAAAAAAAATGGCTGAATAAGTATTCATATTTATATAGAAGGTGTAATGTATGAATCTATATATCAGACTAATAATGGATGACAAAATTGAAAGAACTCCTAAGTAACCTGTTTTTTCCCTAGAAATAACTTCAAATTAATATTAATGGTTTTATCAATGGAGTCAGCTCTATCTATATATCTCTTTTCTCCTTTATATATATATATATATATATATATATATATATATATATGAATTCTCTTCTGGTTTCTTTTGCTTTTCCAGTCAATTTTGATCTTCAAAAGTTTAAATGTAATGTCAATTGCTATCTTCTTAATTCCTCTCCTTTATTGTTCTCTGTTTTTAATAAGGCTTTTTTTTTCTCGTCATATTTTTTCACACTCGGTAACCCTTGCATTTTAATGGTTTTATTGCCTTGCCTGGGGTGAAATGATTAAAAAATAAATTAAAAAAAAATATTGCAGGAGGATCATGCAATACATCCCCTTCCCTCACAAAATTAGTGCTGATATAAGGGGGGGATATTTAAAAACAATATTCATAAAAATTATAAACAAAAACTATTAAAAGTTCAATGAGGTCTAGATACACTGGATGTCAAAACAATAAATTTAAAAGTGTGTGTGTGTGTTCGCATATATATATATATATATATATATATATATATATATATATATATATATATATATACACACACAGCCCATTAAAAATATATACACACTTCAGGAAAGGAAAAACTTGTACAGATATTGAAATACTAAATTTATTCAGACATCATGAGATTAATACAAGTTACATTTGGACTCTTCAATCACAAGCAATGCTCAAAATGGTGGTCTTTAGTTTCCAGTCATTTATTAGTATAGTGAACTGCTACTTGGGTAACATTGGCACTTTTTGCATTTTTCCTTTCTTGTCTAAGGGCCACCAATGTAGTCAGTTTTCTATTGTGCACACCATTGTTTAGGTCTTGTTGATGCTACAGCCATGACAGTTAATACCATCTGTCTAGAAAATACTATGGTGTTATCGTAATTTGATAAAACTACAAGAGATAAGATTTTCCTTTCCTGAAAGTGTGTATACTTGGGGGGGGCAGACTCTGTATGTGTGTACACTAAGTGACAAACACTTTACTAATATTAATTATATATGTGTGTATATATATATATATATATATATATATATATATATATATATATATAGTAAAGGGTTTGTCACTTAGCTGAGCTGATTGATGTGCTTCAGAAAAACAGTTGGAATCATTAACAAGTTGCATGTTTTGTTTTAAAGACATCTCTGTTTAAATCATTCAAAGCTTTATACAGAACAGCAAAAGAATAATGCTTATTTCTTTGAATAAGTTAATTTAAAAGTAATCTTTTTTTCTTTTTTTTTTATCTAAATGTTGAAAACATTTTCAAACATTTCATCATATTTTGGCTTCATGTGATGCCTTTTGTTTGAAAAGTAATAAGTCCATTAGATTATTTTTTTTCCTGATATAACAACATCCACTTTGTGCCTTAAAACAATTCCTTTTTAAAAAATCTTTGTTTTTTACAGTTTCCTCTTCTATGAATTGATGTTGCAACTTGCATTATTTCTGTTTTCAGAATCAATTACTTGTTGAAGGGCAGACCTATGCTGTCATGCTGTATACCTGGAGATGCTGTTCACGAGCTCTCCCTCAGGTAAGTCTTACCTTGTTTTCCAGTTCCCTTCTTCATAACCAAAAATATCCATGTAGTTTTATGTCAGGGACACATCAAGAACACCTCCTACCCTGTCTTCCTTGAGTAATCTTGGCCTTTCAGGCATAACATGCTGGTCGAGCATCAAGGGATATTTTGTCATGTCAGAATGCCAAAAAGAACCTACCATCTGACTTGGAATATGTTTCCAATCAAAAAAAAAAAAAAAAATTACATAATAATATCAAGTGGGTGAGAAAGGAGAAAATCAAGGAAGAGAAGGAGAGGGAAAAGAGCATGAAGGTAGTAGGAAATGTACAAAAAAAAAGAAAATACAGAGAGAAGGAAGCAATGAACACGAGAGGTGGGGCAGGAGAAGCAATGAACACGAGAGGTGGGGCAGGAGAAGCAATGAACACGAGAGGTGGGGCAGGAGAAGCAATGAACACGAGAGGTGGGGCAGGAGAAGCAATGAACACGAGAGGTGGGGCAGGAGAAGCAATGAACACGAGAGGTGGGGCAGGAGAAGCAATAAACACGAGAGGTGGGGAGGGAGAAGCAATGAACACGAGAGGTGAAGGATGGACGGAATGGAAATATATATACTGGCTGGATAGCAAGAGACAATTAGTGAATGATGAAAAGACATAAAAATTACAGCACATTAAAATTATTTATGGAGAGATAAAGCAAAAGAAAGATAGGAGAAAGGATACAGTAAACAAAAAATATTTGTATCTTTGTTTCCTATGTATTTTTTTTAAATCTAAATATCATACAAAGATGAATTAGTTTAATATATGAAAAAAGAATGACAAAGATTGTAAAGATAAAGGAGAGAATGAGAAGATACAGGCAAAAGACCATGAAGAGCAGAGGGTTTAACACAATGGATAATCATGGAATCTCCATAGCATCAACTAGTTATATATATTGTAATTGGTAGGGATTATTCCAAAGAGGACTTTTCAGTCCCTATGAGAGCTGAATGTATGATACAGAGCAAATAATAATAAACCTTAAAAATCTATAGTCAGTAATAAGTTTATTTTGATGAATATAAATATATTCATCTCATCAGACTGACTACATTTTATGAAATGGAATCAAGGTATCTCAGTTTGGGATATATATATATATATATATATATATATATATATATATATATATATATATATGCACGTGTGTGTGTGTATGATGCATGGTGCCAAACCTGTTTAAGAATGTCTAAACTGTAAGCTATATACAACTGCTTTCTTAGATCAATGATTTAAATTGCTTTGAGCAAGTGAAGCCTGTGGGTTTTGGCAAAAACTACGATTCTTCTTTGAACCTGGTGGATTGGTGCTACAAAATCACAAAACTGTTCCACATAACAAGAAAAAAGATATCACTTTTAGGACTTCCAACAGCTGAAATGGATAGCACATGTAACTTGAAAAGAAAATAATTACATAATGAATATGTTAACCTTCCACACTACTTCAACTAAAAGGTTACAAAAGAAACCCCCATCAATACTGGAAAGTGTGATGACTGCTACTGGACTTCAGAAAGCAATTTTCTTGAAAAATAGTTTTAAGAGAAAAATTTGATAGATTTCAACCAACAACTGTACTGGCTGCTTGGTCAATGAATGCCAAATATTTCTTTATAAGGAAACTGTTAATATTACCATTACCACATATATTGTCCAGTTCACATTCCTTCCCTGCCTTTTGAACAGGCATAGAACTTTATCCTTTCTTCTCCATTTAGGATTGCATTTCCGGTTCCTTCTAAAGTCTTTTGATTCTTTCACTCCCAGTAGCCTTATGAGCTTATGGACACGTCATGTTGAAACATCAGTTCCTGTATAATCACTGAAGTTAGGCAACATTGACCCTGGTCAGTACCTAGGTGGGTGACCACTTGGGAATACCAGGTGCTGTATGTAAGCTTTGATGTACAGGTGGTATAATGGATAATGGTTAATTGGAGAGCCAAGTTCCAATTCTAGTTTAGTTTGTTATATTAACTTACATGTAAAAACCCTTGGGAAAGGTATGAATCCACCCCTTCTGCCCCCAGCTGTGGGCTAATTATTAGGACTTGTATCACTGAAACCATTATCTCCTCCACCTCAAAAAAATATTGCATACAAAATATTTAGATTTCAACATTAAATAACCCATAGAGGTTGATAAGCTGCTAAACAAAAACAACCAAATAACAATTAGCCCCTTGCATCTTAGTGATATTATCGTCTTGGCATCTGTCGGAGTTTCTATCCCTGAGGTATCAGTGCACAGCAGAGGGAAAGGGAAATCCTAACATATTATTTTTACGAATGTAAACAAACACCAGGTAGCCATAGTGCTTTATTCATTTAATGAGAGACGGCTGCTCTTTAGAATTACCCTCTATAAATAGTTTCTGTATTCATTCTTAGATTGCTTGGACCTTTAAATTAGGGTGATTTGTAGGTTCCAAACTTTACACCTAGCCTGACTTTGTAGCATACAGTATTAGTTTATTTTTTGTGGAGAGCAATGCAAAATACACACACACACACACATACACGTGATCATGAAAATATCTTGGTTTAACCTACTTCCTGAAATCTGACTAAATAATTACATATTCTTTTTTCAATCCTTTTTTTTTTTTTTTTTTTAAATGAAGCTGAGAATTTTTCAGCATCCCCTTGTAATTGTGCGAATATAAATTGGACCTGTTTATATAACAAAAGAAATTATTTTAAGTGACATGAAATAATATTAGATATTAACAATGTGTTTTGTATTTTTCAGGTGAAAAGCAATGAGCAGCCCAACAGAGTTGAGATTTATCAGACTATTGTGGAAGTCTTAGAACCACATGTGTCTAACTTAATGAGATTTATGTACTTCCAGGTGAGGAATATGTTTGATATTCATCAGCAACCATAACACACCTCAATGTTTGCTTCTCACAATTTCTGCCAAGTCTGTCTTCTGATATCTTCCAAGTCTGTCTTCTGATATCTTCCAAGTCTGTCTTCTGATATCTTCCAAGTCTGTCTTCTGATATCTTCCAAGTCTGTCTTCTGATATCTTCCAAGTCTGTCTTCTGATATCTTCCAAGTCTGTCTTCTGATATCTTCCAAGTCTGTCTTCTGATATCTTCCAAGTCTGTCTTCTGATATCTTCCAAGTCTGTCTTCTGATATCTTCCAAGTCTGTCTTCTGATATCTTCCAAGTCTGTCTTCTGATATCTTCCAAGTCTGTCTTCTGATATCTTCCAAGTCTGTCTTCTGATATCTTCCAAGTCTGTCTTCTGATATCTTCCAAGTCTGTCTTCTGATATCTTCCAAGTCTGTCTTCTGATATCTTCCAAGTCTGTCTTCTGATATCTGATTCTTCCAAGTCTGTCTTCTGATATCTTCCAAGTCTGTCTTCTGATGATATCTTCCAAGTCTGTCTTCTGATATCTTCCAAGTCTGTCTTCTGATATCTTCCAAGTCTGATATCTTCCAAGTCTGTCTTCTGATATCTTCCAAGTCTGTCTTCTGATATCTTCCAAGTCTGTCTTCTGATATCTTCCAAGTCTGTCTTCTGATATCTTCCAAGTCTGTCTTCTGATATCTTCCAAGTCTGTCTTCTGATATCTTCCAAGTCTGTCTTCTGATATCTTCCAAGTCTGTCTTCTGATATCTTCCAAGTCTGTCTTCTGATATCTTCCAAGTCTGTCTTCTGATATCTTCCAAGTCTGTCTTCTGATATCTTCCAAGTCTGTCTTCTGATATCTTCCAAGTCTGTCTTCTGATATCTTCAAGTCTGTCTTCTGATATCTTCCAAGTCTGTCTTCTGATATCTTCCAAGATATCTTCCAAGTCTGTCTTCTGATATCTTCCAAGTCTGTCTTCTGATATCTTCCAAGTCTGTCTTCTGATATCTTCCAAGTCTGTCTTCTGATATCTTCCAAGTCTGTCTTCTGATATCTTCCAAGTCTGTCTTCTGATATCTTCCAAGTCTGTCTTCTGATATCTTCCAAGTCTGTCTTCTGATATCTGATATCTTCCAAGTCTGTCTTCTGATATCTTCCAAGTCTGTCTTCTGATATCTTCCAAGTCTGTCTTCTGATATCTTCCAAGTCTGTCTTCTGATATCTTCCAAGTCTCCAATATCTGTCTTCTTGATATCTTCCAAGTCTGTCTTCTGATATCTTCCAAGTCTGTCTTCTGATATCTTCCAAGTCTGTCTTCTGATATCTTCCAAGTCTGTCTTCTGATATCTTCCAAGTCTGTCTTCTGATATCTTCCAAGTCTGTCTTCTGATATCTTCCAAGTCTGTCTTCTGATATCTTCCAAGTCTGTCTTCTGATATCTTCCAAGTCTGTCTTCTGATATCTTCCAAGTCTGTCTTCTGATATCTTCCAAGTCTGTCTTCTGATATCTTCAAGTCTGTCTTCTGATATCTTCCAAGTCTGTCTTCTGATATCTTCCAAGTCTGTCTTCTGATATCTTCCAAGTCTGTCTTCTGATATCTTCCAAGTCTGTCTTCTGATATCTTCCAAGTCTGTCTTCTGATATCTTCCAAGTCTGTCTTCTGATATCTTCCAAACACATAGAACATTAATCTTGATTTGAGGAAAGTCATTTTTTTTTCTTTTTGCTTTCTTTTTACTTGAAAATAAAATTACTCATTTTATGTTTGTAACTTAAAATTTTCTAACCTTTTATTTGCTTATCATACAATCAGCAGAGTTAAGCAACGTAGAGCCTGGTCAGTACCTATATAGGTAACTGCTTAGGAATACTAGGTGCTCTAATCTTTGATGTGTGGTTGGTGTAATGAATTGGAATTGGTTAATCGAAGAACCAAGTTCTGATTCCAGTTGGGTTTGTTATATTCATTTATGCACAGATACCCTTGGGAAAGTCATAAATCCAACTCTTCTCCCCCCCAGCTATGGGTTAATTAGTAGGAAATGTATCAGAAAATTCTTAGTCTAAAAAAAATATTTTCTGGCTTTAAAATAAGCCATGAAAAGCAAATGGATCAATCAATTTGTTTATAGTATGAGCAATTTGGATACATTCCTGTTTGCTTAGATTTAAAAAAAAGTAAAAAAAGCTTTTTATAAATGGAATGTTTCAGGGAGACTCTGATATGACATTTTCATAGCTTCAATGAAAAACAGTAAATGTGCTTTTAAAGGTTTAGGTATAAATTTTTAAAATAAAATGCTTCTGTATATTTATGTAAAAGAACTACTAGAAACATTGCATTTAAAAAAATAAATGGTTTTAAAGTTTCTGGAGGATTGAGTTTAATAAGTCATTGTTTTAAACTGAAAAAGATACATTTTAAATGTGTATATTTTAAAATATATAGTAACTAAGTTTTGTTTTTATTGCCCACAAATTTGCATTTACCAACTTTTTATTATTATTGCTATTATTCAAACTAAATACTTCAATGGGCGTGATTTCAGCCATGTACTCTCCAACCTTTCTCAGGTGTCTATTGTGGCTGAAAAACCACATGGAATGATTAAAATAACCTATCAAAAAAATATCCAGTCACTAATTCCTTTGTTTTTAATGTTTTGATAGAATGTAGTTTAAATTTGAGCGAATGGCCAAGATCCTTGGGGGTGGGAGTAACCCTGAGCGACAAAGGTTCTCTTGACAAGTCACTCATTTTTCTCGTAGTCTTGTTTACAAATCACACTCAGTGAGACTAACACGAAACTTCACACACAAAAGCATGACCACTCGACTCATCAGTGTTTCTCGCTAGTTTCGCAAAATCTCTCAGCTCCAAGAGTGAGTTTTTCTTAAATGGTAACTGCTAACAGGTAAAACCTGGATGTAACTGATGTTGACAAACATGTACGCATGCGATCCAAGGCCTCTTTTGCATCTGTACTGATGTGCAATGTTAAGGTTGCAAAATTTGGTCCAACTGAAACAAAATACAAAGTTTATTATTTACCAACCGCATTGTAAAATTTGTTTTATTTTATTCATTTTTCAGAAACGGGCTGTTGAACGTTTCTGCCGTGAAGTAAAGGAACTAAAACGAAGTGACTTTGTGTCAGAAGCTTATCTTCTCACTCTGGGAAAATTTATTAACATGTTTGCTGAATTGGATGAACTCAAAAACATGAAATCCAGTGTCAAAAATGATTATTCTGCTTACAAAAGGTTTGTCCTATAATAAACACTTTCTTTTTTATCTTTTTTTTTTCTCCTCATTACCATTTTTCTTTTCTTTTTTTTTTTTTCTTTCTTCTCTTTTTTTTATTTCCATCTTTTCTAAAATGACTAATTTTTCTCCTCTCTACTTGTAGAGCTGCTCAATTCTTAAAAGTTTCTTACGAGGCACAGTCTCAACAAGAATCTCAAAATCTTTCCATGTTTTTGGCTACCCAAAACCGGATCCGGACGACTCTGAAAAATGAGCTAATCAACATTGAGGGCTATGAGAATCTCCTATCAGATATTGTCAACATCTGCCTAAGCATGTATGAAAATATGATGTACTTGACCCCCAATGAAAAATATATGTTGGTCAAGGTGAGTACTTCAAAATTTCAAGCAGTAACTTTCATTTAAGGTGCTAAATTCTGTTGAATTCTTCTTCCCTTTTATCCTGCTAAAGCAATTATCTTATTTGCTTACCTTTTCTTTTCTCTTTTTTTTTCTTTTTAATGTACATCTTCTGTAACAGCAAATATGGTATTAATCATCTACATTCATGTGAAAGTTGAAGTCTTTTTCAACTCCTCCCCGCCTATTAGACACCTGTCTAATAGACGAGGAGGGGGTGTGGAATTTCTTTTTCTGACCCTCCCCAATTTTTGTTAAGACCAACTCATTTATTCATTTTTCACTCTTCAACCTTTTAAATGTTTTCAAATCAGGCCTTTTATTAAGACTTTCAGTTTATTGCATGTTGAGAACTTCCCGCCGCCTGCCAATTATTAAGACCCCACCCCACTCCCTGCCATATCAGGAACCCAAGTGTAAACCTTCACATTGAGGCTGTATACAGCAAAAATGTCAGATTAAACATTAATTTTGTTATGCTTTTGCCACTTTTAAAGACAAGAAGTTGTGGAGGGCCATGATCACTCACACCCTGAAAGGAATGGTACAAACAAGATGTTTCCATTTTTATTTTTTCATGAGTAGCAATAAAAAAAAAAAAAAAACATGGAAATTATTAAAATTACTTTTTACTATTCTAAATTTATGTAAAAGAAAAAACCATGAACAAAATGACCATTTGTCATTTCTGTACAGAATACAATACAAATTGATTGGACAATGTCTGGTCAGAAGAAAATCTATTTTCTACTCTTGAAATGTTTTTAATTATTTATCACTTAGCTGTTTTCTCTAGTTATCCACCTGATTTTCAATAAATAGGATGTGCCAGCTATTTGAATAAACACCTTTTGTGGCTGCATAAGTGGAAGATAACAGTTTTATGAGGCATACACTGTTTCAATATTCTCTTTTTTCTTTCAGGCGTATTGAGAGCATTAACATAGCAGGAATGCATCTGATGCAAGAAATAAAAAGGCATACAATGTTCACGACAAAAAAAAAACAAAAAAACTGCTAGCCACATCAACTCTGAGATAACCAAGTGGTTAGACAAACAAAACAGCTTACTCTACAGAGATATTTGTGGCAATGTATACTAAGTTCAAATCATTGGTGATGGCCTTGTTGGAGTCTTGAGTAATGAGGACCAAGTCATAACACAATACTTCTTTCCACAGAGTCTCAGGATCAATGTTACCATCTATACTGAACTGCTGGACACAGTGTCTGAATTCTGAATTGAAACAGTGGGTGTGCATATTCCAGCCAACAGAACTCTGATCCCTGTCACATAGTCGACATGACCCCAGAGTGGTTAGCCAAGAATTTTCATGACCTTCTCACTTCCAACATGTTGTCTCCTGATTTGAATCCCCTGGATTATTATATCTGGGGTATTGTAGAAGCAGAAACCAACCAGCAACAGCTCGATACCAAAAGTTTGTTGAAGACTATCATGGACCATCAGATCCAGGCATACAGCCACTTTTGAAACTACATTGGAGCTGTCCTCAAGTCTGACAGTGATTTCATTGAATAGATATTTGCTGTTTTGTCATATAGAAATAGTGTTGCTGCTGACACTTGGGTTTGAACATAAATCGCCAGAGAGCTAGCACAGTCAACCTCATCTTGAAATAATTAGATCACATGACTGGTAAAGGAAAAATATATATAGGGGAATTAGCGGCATCTGACCTTTATTTTTTGAAGGCGTTACTATTATTGTATCGGTGATTTACAGAGTCTCTCCTACAAACAGGCATTACAAAATGTTTGAACATGTATATAACTTTTTCTAGAGATATACTGATTTTTATTTTTATTGAATATCATTTCTCCATATTATTTGTTCTCAATTACACAGTACATTCTATATATTTGTGCAAGGTTGCTAATTGAATGACAAAATTGCGGAGGGGGGGGGCATTCAGTTATATCATTAGTCTGATATATAGAATTTATATATCATCTTCTCCCATATTGTTACATATCAACTTTTAAAACTTTAAAAACTCCCCAAATGTTTTATATCAATCCATCTATATGAGTTAGGCTGATAGTGGTAGTGTTGACTTTTTTTCGCTAATATGCCATTTAGATTAACTTCTTCACTATATAAGCTTTATTAACAGCTCAGAATTTTAGAGATTGATTCAATATATAAAAATATATATGTATATTTTGCAAGTTTTTCCTGAAAAATATACTATTACTTTGAATTGCACAAGACTGACTTTTGAAAAGTTAGGTCAAATAATTTATATTCTATGTTCATGATTAAGATATTTACATCACATCTGCATGACCAGGTATCAAAGCTAAGACTAAGTGTTATTTGTTTACAATTGTATATTTTATATCTACTTCTGTATGTGCTTGACATTAAATATCAGTATTTGAAGCAAGGTTTTTTGTTGGATTTGGATACTGATTTGCTGTTAACATCACTAAATTTATTAACTGGTCTCTATCAAAACATTTTTAGTTTTCTCAAATTTAGTCAGTGTTCTTCTTTTAGTCAAATTCTTAAAACTTTTCCCAATATGGTCAAATTTCACACTTATCAGGGTGACATTTTTGTATAATTGTTACTGTTTTTATTGTTTTATGTTCAGAATGTCCATTTTAGTGTAGTTATCAAATTAATTCTCTTTTTTTTCTTTTTTTTTTAAATTTCAAAATGGACACCAGTTTCTTTGAAACAAAAAAGTGAAATTCTGTTTGACCATTTTATATTTTTCTGTTGTCAGCAGTGTTAAACCTTTTTATTGAACAAGGACTTAGAAAATTTCAAGAAAATTCTATGCATTATTTCTAAGACAACGCCAACTACAGATATGGCCATATTTAAGAATTAAAAAATATGGTTACCTCTCAAGAACTTACATTTACAATAGCACAACTAAACATACATAAAGTACAAAAAATAAATCTCTTGTTAGCATGCAAGTAAAACAATAAAATATTTGACAAAGTACCTTGTCAGTCATTTTTAATGAGACATTTATTAGAGAGGGATTACTACCCAAATGCACAACTCTCTCTGAAGATCCAGGTATAAAAAAAGTTTAGGCAAAAATAAAACCATATTAGGAATGATATACAATATCTATGAATGATTTTTATTCTTGTATTTTTTTTTTTCTAGGTTATGGCTTTTGGTTTGTTTCTGATTGATTCCAAAGACATCAGTATATACAAAATGGATGCCAAAAAGAAAATCAATATAGGAAAAATAGACAGAATTCTTAAAGTAAGTAAACCATACCATTTTTTTTTTCTAATGTATACACAATTTGATCAAGAGAAATTAATCTAACCCCCAGTTTCCACCATCTTCAAATAGTCTCTTCTCTAGTAACAAATTCAGTTTGTATTCTGTTTGATTTTCTGCATATAAGAATTCTTAATATTTCATACTAAAGCAAGTGACCACGTGAAGAATTCCATTTTATTGTCTTTGCAAAAGCAGTACGTATAACCTAAAAATATAATGTTTTAAATTCTGTCATTAAACTATATTAAAGAAAAAAGAAAACTCTATTCTGATGTATGGTTAGCCAAGAGAGACTTTCAGGAATGCTTTCTTTTGTTCTTCAAGGTGTCTTTTTCAAATATGTATTATGAGCTCTTTAGACATCATGTAAAAACTAGATACAAACGTCAAAATCACGTTTGTGTTGAAATAGACTGATACTTTGACTTGTGACTACATAGTATACACTTCATTTTTTTTTTCTCTCACCCATTATGTTGACAAAAAAATGTGTGAGACAATGAAACAAAAGACATGTACAGTTTGCAGTTTCAATGATGACGTCATGCAAACAAAAGTTTTCCATGCTGGAAGTGATAGCATTTTTCAGCCAGCATTTGTTAGTGTTGATGGCAGCAAAAGCATCAAAGAGAAAAACAAAGAAACAGTTCTCTGTCCTGGTGAAAGCTACAATATTACCAATACAATTAAACAAGAGGATTCCATTTTGTCGGAAACAAATCCACACAATAGTTTGCAAAGTTTTAAAAAAAAATGTCTTGAATGTCAATACACAGTAATATTGTTTACACTATTTACATTATTTGAACTGCTGTCTATCATCTTTACTGTCACATTCACAATGTTTCGGCATTGTATACTCTGCCCTTCTTCAGGTGATATTTGTTTGAATTTTTGAATCGAACACTTTATTCAGTTCATGGGGTTAGATTGTTCAAATTCCATGCACCATCTCTTTGGATATCCCACTTTTAGTTAATTCGCTTTGATAACTTGACAAGTTTTTGGACTCGCTGCTAAGGCCAGGGATTGAACTCACAATTCTTTGGGTCAAGTCACTTTTTGGATCAATCAACTAATGCTTTTATCCAGTTGGCCAAAGTGTCACGAATGCGACAGTAATGATTAGGACAATACTCCAAACAATGTAAATAGTTACAATACTCAGAAATATAGACAGAGATTGATTTTATGTACTTTGATAGAATATGCTCAGCAATTATAACAAGTGCAGATTATGCAAAAATTGTTAAAGATTTTAATGAGGCATTTTGGTTCAAATTGCTGCCTTCTGACTGGTCAAGGCATCAATCCTTCCTGGTTGGTGTATTCTTGCCTATATAAACTAGCATATCGTATAAGTTTTTTTTTTTCTTTTCTTTAATGTGCATCCATGATGTTCACTAGTCTGCTTTCAAAGTACAGTAGATTTTCTAACTGGAAAAAGAAAACTTTCAAAATACCCATGAAAATTGCTGTAGTCATTGTTATTTGTTGCTTGGTAAGATACTGATCACTGAATTTGGCTTACGGCCACATCACATTGAAAACACCACTTCCTGTACAATCATTGAAGTTAAGCAACATCAAACCTGGTCAGTCCTGAGATGGGTGACTGCCTGAGAATATCAAGGTGGTGTAATTGATAACAGCTCAGAATTGTTAGAGAGCAGAGTTCCAATTCCAGTTGGGTTCATTATATATATTTATGTGCAAATACTCTTTGGAAAGGTATGAATCCACATCTTCTCTTCCTGGTTTGTAAGACTTGTATCACTAAATTATTATCTCAAAAAAATATATTTTCTGGCTTTAAATAATCTACAAAGGGTTGATAAACTGTAGGAAACAAATTAATCAGTGATCACTGAATTTGTCTCCGAAGAGACATAATTGAAAAGCTTCAGGATGGATTGTATGCAATATTTGGAATTTTGCATTTTGTAGCCATACTTGACTACATCACCTCAAAAGTAAACACTGAAAATTTGTTGACACTTTTACAGTTATTAACAATTTAATTAAATTTAAAATTTGCAAATAAATTTCATGTGCAAAATTATTGGTTGCAATTTGTTTCTATAAATGAATCAGATTTGTTTCTACAAACACCGGTTTAATTTCACGTGTGATTTAGCATATTATGATGGCTCAAGTGATTCTTTTTAATCCCCCAAAACAAAAAAATTGAAACTCACTTGTCTTCTTTCTGTCTTGTTTCTCAGCAATTAGAAGTTGTTCCCCTGTATGGGGATATGCAAATAGCCCCCTACAGATATATCCAGAATGGTACCAATTTTGACCCCTCAAAATGGCCGTGCTGTGAATCCAACCAGCCAAGCCCCCAGTCTGATTTGCTTATGAATCTTGAAGCTGTTCGAGAAGATCACATGACTTACATCAGTCAGCTTGCACGTCACACCAATGAGGTAAGTTCACCCCTTTTTCATTTTTAACAGGGAGGAGTCAGACTATATTTGTTTATCCACAAGAGAATTGGCTCTTTCATTGGATGTAAACTCTAGCAACATTATGAAGTAGAAATTGTTTTAATGAAATTGTTGTATATCTTTGAGTAAATTCCATATGATTCATTGAAACACAAATTGTGGAGAAAATTTGTCTTGATCGCATTTCTCTAATTGAAAAACTTTTGTGATTTTCAGGCTATCACTACAACTAGAGAAAGTCTGCGCACAGATGCTGAGAACAAAGAACTGAGTGATTTGGCTTTGAAGGGATTACGTTTGCTATCAGCCTGGACCCAGCTGGTGATGGAATTGGTAAGTATATGATAAAGAATTTTTTTTTCTTTAGACCCCAATTTAGATTATATTTAGACACAAATTTTAATCTATTTAAAATTACTTTAAATATTCTTCAATGAATGCCACAAAATCTTGAGGTTTTGTCTCAGTGTAAAATGATAAGTTTTTAATTTATAAAATTTGCCAACTCATAAACACTAATTAAAGTTCTTATTTGTTTAGATTTTAGAAGAACTGAAAGTACCATAAATATCTTTATATATTTAACATTTAAAATTATTCATTTTAGCCAATAATAAATTAAAAATATGTACTTAAAATTTGATGTGTTAACATAGATTTTAAATGTAAATTCAGATTTATTTAGAAATTGTTTCATTCTTTTGGAATTTTGGGGGCTAGTCCCCCTCTCTTCCACTGCAATGTTGAAATCTTATTTAAATTTTGTTTTTACTTACAGTATTCTTGGAAGCTACTGCATCCAACTGATCCTCACCAGAGTCCAAACTGTCCTCCCGAAGCTGAAGAATACGAAAGAGTAAGTTTAAAAATGAAAAAATAAAAACATTTTCTACATAATTTATACTTTGATGTTTAGTCATCTGTTGATATTTAGACATGTTTAGATTTTTATCTTTTATTTTTGTGATATCAACAAACACTCGTTGCCACTTTTGTGATGTCAACAAATACTTGTTGTCACTTCATAATGCTCATTGTAGTAGGGACTTTGTAATTGCAGATACAACTATAATACACCGTTGAACAACGCTAATGTCAAACACTTTTGAATATCACTCACATTAATAGTACTTGCTCAATAATACTTGCTCAAAAAGTAATCCAAATAGTGATCTAAATAGAGAAATAGTATAGTGAATAGCAGTCTGTATAGTGATAGTGGATAGACTAGGAATAACGATCAATTCAACATCACACGGCTTTCTACTTATGCATTTCTCTATGGTCATGTGATCCACTTAATTCAATAATGGGATCGCCTATGTTTAGTCTCTGGCGTTCTACATTCAAACTCAAGTGTCAGCAACAGCACTTTATTCCTATATAACACGTATAATATTTAATGTTTAGATCTATACTTTGAGGTTTAGTCATCTGTTGGCTTCAACAAAGTTAGGAATGAAGAAAATTATCAATTCCCACTACAATTTAATTTTACCTTTCACAAAGGCTAGCATTTTTTAATATCATGAAAACAATAACAAGAGCAGCAGCAATAATAATATGATACTGCTTCTTCCTTCATTAGTGAGCATTTAAATTACACCCTGCCATTACCTGTTTGATTACAAGGACAGACTTATAATAGCTTGCCTGTCCGCAAAACAAAAGAAACACTATATCAAAAATACCATTTGGTTTTAGGGAAAGGAAAAGAAAGCAAACAAGCTCTCATGTGATTTAATGTCTTCTTCAGTGAAATATAAAAACTTGATAATTTTAAATCTTTTCATTTGTATACTCTTACTATAGGTACCTCCACGAGATCGCTAAAAAAAGAGCATAGCATGATGAAAAAAGACGCGCCAAACTTGGACGAAAACAAAATTTTATCGTCTAAATGTTTGTTATTCATTAAGAGGAAAGGTCAAAGTATTTTTGGGGTATTTTTTCCATTTTTTAATCGTTCCTAGCACGTCCGAAATTTTCGTTAAAAATCTTTTTTTTTTTTTTTGAGTCAGCAAAATTTACATTTTTTTTCCATTTTAAAAAAAAACGGAAAATTTACTTTTAAATTTTTTTTAAATATCAATTATCATTTTTTCAAAACTTATTTTAAGAAAATCAGAAATTATAATGTTTATTTAAAATATTTTGAACCAAACTTAACTTAGCTTTTGTGCCAAAAAGATGTAATTTGAAAATAAAACAAAGCAGGTCATAAACTTTAGCGTCACTTGACATGTGATGAATGACATATTGACGGATTCCGTGAGGCTAATTTTGTTCTACGGAAGGAGAAAAAGTGAAATAATTTACATTTACGTGAACAAATTATTTACCCCGTTATTTTTAACGTAAAAAACTTTCAGCGGTCTAATTTTTTTTTTTTTTTTTTTTTTGTACTTAGCTTTCACCTTTACGTTTATGATGCTTTATGGGAAATATATTCTAAAGAAATTAAAATAAAACTGTTAAGAGTGACATTAAATTTCATATTTCTTAAGAAAGGTATCTAATTAATTTATAGGTACCTTTCTTATGAAATTTTATCAGAAGTGTACATAAAATACTATAATTTTATGTACTTTTATTACATTTTACTGTGTTATTTGTATTTCCATTCATTTTATTATTATTTTTGATATTTCATTTATGGAAAAATGTCGTAACTGAGATTAATATAAAAATAAGATCATATAAATTTCATAAGATGATACTGATACTTGTAGATGCCCTTCTCAGTTGAAATTGAAAAATCAACTTCTCCACACGTGTTTGGCAAAAGTAAAGGCCTTAACAGCAGAGAACAATGCTTAACTCAAATAACGCCAACTTAATTATATTCTGGTTGGTCTTCCGTATTTTATAATTACAGCTCGATTATAAGCACAAAATTACATTTCTTAATTACTGGGGTTCTTCTGATTAGTCAAAATGATACAATTTACAACGCATCTAAAAAAAGATCTATCTCATAAGGACACTTATGAAAGCCTGTCTTGACTTTTATCTAATTTTATAATATTTTAACAACTTAAATGTAAAATCTATTATAATTAATGAAATAACAAATAATTGTATTAAAAATTCATTTTTCATCGAAAAATTTTTTTGCTTTCAGAAAATATTGTCCATATTCATAAAAACAACTAAAAGCAAATAAAAGCATTTGAAATTAAATAATATCTTTGTTTTATTGAGTTTTTTGTATGTTACAATTCAGAGCTGATTTTTAGGTATTGGGTATCCAATTAAAAAAAAAAAAACATGATTTGCATTCCTCAAAGCCCTGTGCTTTTAATTATTGTAATCACTAAAACCGATGCGATCAATTTCTAGCGTTTTCATAAAATTAGTTATGGGGGGGTAATAAATATTTTTAAAAATATTTCTACCATGACTTTCATAAAAAAACATATTTATAATAATTTCGATCATCTGTGAATAGTTCCTGAAAGTTTCATTAACATCCGATAATTATTTCTATTTTTGCACGATTTTTCAAATTAATGTGTGTCATACCAAAAAAACGTGCTAAAAAATTGTCTATGTTATTTACTAGTTCGCTTGATACAAATAGAAACAAGGTTTTTTAATCAAAATTGAGAATTTTCTAAAAGAAGGAAATTTTTTAAAAATAATTAAAAAAACTTTGGTCTTTCCTCTAAATAATAACATAAGCATTTAGACAATAAAATTTTGTTTTCGGCAAGGTTGGCGTCTTTTTCATCAAGCTATGCTCTTTTCTTAGCGATTTCGTGGAGGTACCTATCTTACTACTTTCTGCTTGTCCTTCGTGTGACCATAAATTACATTTGGCAGCAAGACTTCTGATCGGGAGAGTGGAGGTTTTGAGGAGCATGAAACTTCTTAATTGCTGTTGTTCCCAGGTCCACCTTAACATAGAGTGGTAGCATTTGTTAGGGTCCCATCTATGGGTAAATAGTGAATCCTCAAATAAAAACAAAACCATATGGAAATATAAAAACACTTTTATTATAAAATTACCAACAATTTATAGTAAAAAAAGAATTACCAACAATACAATTTAAAGTAAAAAAATTACCAACAATACAATTTAAAGTAAAAAAATTACCAACAATACAATTTAAAGTAAAAAAAAATTACTAACAATACATTTTATTTGTAGTTGAAGTGATACAATTGCACTCAAAATATATTTAGTTGAAGCCATAAAATTGTTCAAAATATTTAGATTTCAATATTAAATGACCCATAGAGGTGTTGATATATCGCTAAACAAAATCAACTAACCAATTTATTTATGCATTCATATTCATGATTGTCATTGCAATATTTTGTTAAAGTTAAGCTCAAATATTTAATGATGCAATTGGAAAATTTCCATAGGCATTTTTACAAAAAATCATTAAGATCCATCAGAAAATTCAAATAGGAAAACTCAAATATTCATGGCTGTTGCTAGTAATAATAATTCAGCTGTCAGAAAAAATCATTAAGATCCATCAGAAAATTCAAATAGGAAAACTCAAATATTCATGGCTGTTGCTAGTAATAATAATTCAGCTGTCAGAAAAATGAGTACTAACAACATCATTACAAAGAAGCCTTCAGAATACACTGGGTACTCTGCTGGAAGTATGGTTTTAAATGAACAGAGAAATAGTCCAATTAGTGGTGACTGAGAGTGAGCAAGTGAAGCTCATATGGGATGCAAGCATTCTGAGTGACAAGTACTTGGAGTGCAATCACCCTGATGTTGCACTTGTGCACAAAAACAGACATGAGTGGATCTTGATAGATGTTACAAGTACTTTGGGATAAGAACACTCTTTTGTTGTTAGTACACTTAGGACTACCTCCAAGAATCTTTCTGCCTTGAAATATACCTTGGGAGTGTGCAGGTCACGGTGCTGCTTGGAACAGTTCAAGTGCTAAGAAAAGTATTGTCGCTAAACTGCAGGTAGGAGCTGATAGTACCATCATCACCTAGCCAAAACATCTAAAAGTTGAAGATCTCAAACTACCACTATTACTAATAATAATATGAACAACAAAAAAAAAGAATTAAGAATAAATCCATTTGCAGCAAAGTTAAAACTGGAATAAATAATGTTAATAAACAATCATCAAACCATCTTATAATCATTAATGTGCATTTATATATTTCCTGTCCCATGTGTAGTGGGAAGAGAGGTAAATCAATTTTAATTAGTAAATTTATGAGTGATTAATCCCATTAGTCATTTTAATAATCTATACAAATAAAATATCTGCATTTAGACAAAAGTAGATGCCGAGCAAAATGAACTATTTGATGAATCAGTTCCTTTACTCCTACATTTCTTAGATTGTAGTCTTATTTGTTCAAGCCTTTCATGTAAAGCACTCTGATACTGTTGTCATTTTGTTGCTAATTCTTTTCTTCCGAGAGATATTGCCATTTCATTGTTATATTAAACACTTAAAATTTTTAACATGAAAAGCTATTCAACAAAAAATAATTTATATAATACCAGGAGTAATCAATGAATCATAAATACCATTGAATGTCTAAATAAAAAAAATATGAAGGGAATGGATTAGTTAAGTGGTTCATTGGCCTTTATTTTGGCTATGAATTCTTTATCTTCACTTGATTGAATCTCAATACGTTGTTTCAAAAGATTTGTTAGATTGCATGTTGCTATTAAAACTTTCTAACAATTTCCGTCATTTTTGACAGCACACATACCATAGTATTGTATAATCATCTTAAATTGTCTGAATTTGTTACATGAAGCCTTTTCAATGTTGATTTTTTTTTCTAGTTTCTTTCATTTTAGTATTGGTATTTTCTATTGAAAGTTTCTGGCTGTTATACATTCTCTGGACAACAATTGGAAGTTAAGAAATAAACACTACGTAGATTTGAACTTCTATTTCATAATATTTTATATCTATTTGACACCAACAAAGCCTTACCATGATACACCCTGTCTGAAGTTATTAAGCAAATCATATAAACTTCAATAATTCAAATTTGATTTGAAAAAAAATTATCAAACTTTAAACAATCAAGTTAGATGTCAAGACAATGCCTGAAGTAAAATTTTAGGTTAGTATCAATGTTTTATTGAAATTATTTGATTCTAAAAAACTGCCTTCTGAAGATTATTAGACAAAACCAAATAATCACATTTTACTTCAATAAAAAGGGATTCAAATCATCAAAAATTGATCAACATCTATAATAGAACAAACAACAAACACATAAGTCTTTCAATCCTTTACATTTTAAAATAGTGACCCTTCTCAATAACAGCAAGTAATCTATTATCCATTGATTTTGTTAATTCTTTTTTACTTCAAGTTCTATATGTGGCATGGTAATTTTAATTGCTTCCCATAAGTCTGCTTTGCTGTTATATTGTTTGCCACATTCATATAATTTCATCTTTACAATTGATCATAGATTTTCAGTTGGATTCAGATCAGGGCTTGATAGTGGACATTCCATTATCTTCTCTTCTGCAAATCTTTTTTGCTCAAAGAATTTATGGGTAAGCTTAGATACATGAGAAGGAGCATTGTCATGCATATGTACACACTTCACTTTGAAACTGTGAGACTGGGACTTGTACTATGCAAAGAAAGTCTTGCTTGTAAAATTGCAATAGCACTTCAGTTTAACTTCTTCATTGACTTTGAATGGTCTAATAATGGTTTAGCTGACAATTCCAGACCATGTAACACTACCGCCTCTTTGTTGCCTTCTTTTAGCCACAGGCATGTCTGAATTGGATGAAACCCATACTTTGTCCCATCCATCAGGTCCATCAAATGTCACTCGAGATTTGTTTGTGAAAATTACTTTAGAAAAGTCAATTTTCATCTATTTCTTGACCCAATTTTAATGCTTTAAAATATTTGCTTCAGTGAGAGGAAGTTGAAGTTTTTTTTTTTTTTTTTTTTTTTTTTACAGATCCCAATTCAAAAAGTATTCTACATCTTTTGTCTTGACTCATCCAATTTCAGACTTTTTAAAGATCTGGTCAAAAGTGGTTGTTTCACTATAACTCACTTTAGTTTGCATTCATCTTAAAGAAGCAAGTTCTTAAGTGCTTTTCCTTTGCTTCAAGTTCTCAACTTACCTTTTCAACATCCTCCTTTATCCTTCGATGATCTCTGCAAAGCTCCTTTGATGTCTTCAATGTGGACATTCCCTCACTCAATAACTTTATTTTCTGTTTTTCAACAGTTGTAAGATCCTTCCCTTTACCCATGTTTCGACATATATTATGGACAAAAAGAAAAAATAGTTTTTATTAGATTTCAGAGGTCTTAAACTAATATTAGCCTAATTTGAATACTAACTACGTAAATTCCATATATCTCAATAACTAACCTTTAAAAATATCAGAAAATTTAGTTACATATTTTACTAAAGGTGGAAATGGTTGACTATAAATCTGACAAGTATTGGTTCAGAACTTTTTGCGATATTGAAGTTTATTTGATTTGCATAATGACTTCAGCCAGGCTGTACTTTGTAGCTATTTGACACAGACAAAGTCTTACCAAATTGACCACATGGACCCAAAAATACTTCTGAGCTTTAACATTTGGGCTTTGGTCCTTGATTAAATGAAATGTTAGTAGAATTATTAACTGATCTGTTGTCAGCAATGTTTAGTATGGTTTTTGAAATTCTAACAATTTTGTGTATATTTCTAATAGGTAGAATTTTAAAACTGATGAATGGTTTTTTTTTTTCTGCTTTCAGTCAACCCGTTACAACTATAGCAGCAATGAAAAATTTGCCCTTATTGAAGTCATTGCTATGATCAAGGGTCTTCAGCTGCTGATGTCTCGCATGGAGTCTGTCTTCATGGATGCCATTCGACGACACATTTTTGCAGAGTTGCAAGACTTTGTACAAGTGCGTCTGAGAGACATCCTTCGCAAAGCCATAAAAAAGAAAAGTGATGTAATCAAGATGTAAGTAATAAACATAATTTTGGGCTTTCCTCTATTTCACACCAAATGTCTAGGATCACACAGAAAATGATAGTGAAAAAAATTTCCTTTGTTGTTGCTGTTGTGTGTATGTGTTTTATGTGTTGTGAAAATTAAACGGTGTGCCAGTAACTTAAATCTCAAATTTTTTTCCTGAGCTTAGTTTGGCATAAGGTTAGAATGATGAGGGCACCCAGTGAGAATCAAACTCTCTATTCATTAGTAATTTATATGCAGAAGCAGCTTTACCATTACATAACCTATTTCAACTCTGTGCTTCTCTACTTAAACTCTGAAATTTTATCTATTTTTTTTTTAATAGGAGTAGATAGATTTGTCTATCGCCCGGTTCACACTCCTCCCTGGAGGAACAGCAGTAGAGGTTTATCACTTGTTTCCTTTTTAGGATTGGCTTTCCAGTTCCTTCTAAATTCTTCTCCTCCTCTTTCACTCCCAGTAGCTCCTTGCATCTTAGTGGCATCAACACCTTGCTTGGGAGTGAATTGATTTAAAAAAAAAAAAAATATAGTTACACCCCTTTTGCTGTTTACTTAGCTTAGTTTTGATACAAGGCCACAAGTATTGAGCACCAAGTGAGGAATGAACTCTATTCATTAGTTTATTTATATGTGGATGCAGTTTGCTAACCATAACATCATAGCAAAGTGCCCTGTTTTTATTTACTCCATAATAATGATCTTTCAAATGATTTCACTAATTGTTACCTGATGCCAATGACTTAATCTAATTGGTTTATTTGGTTCACTTTATATTATTTTTCAAGAAATTTTCTTAGTGTTGTCTAAGCTCATTACTATAATTTTTATCTGCTAGATTTCAATACAAATCGATCTATTTATGCTATTTACATTGTTCGGACAGTTGTCCTCATCTTTGTTGCCATATTGACAATGTTTTGACTGTTATACGCTTCAGCCTTCTTCAGGTGATTGGAATTTTGAACTGAACCCTTTATTTCATCCACTAGGGTAGATGGTTTTAGTTCCACATGCCATGCCTCTTCTGGATATCTCAGTATCAGTTATTTCCCTTTAACTTGACTATCCAAGATTTTTTTTTTTTTTTTTTTTTTCATCTCTGCTGTAGCTAGGTATTGAACCCACAGCACTTTGTGTCAAGTCACTGGATTACTTCAATCAACACTTATATCCACTGGACCTTGTGTTGGTGGATGAAATAAAGGGTTTGGTTCAAAATTTCAATCACCTGAAGACGGCTGGAGTCTACAACAGTTGAAACATTGTGTATATATTAACAAAGATGAGGACAATAGTTTGAACAATGTAAACAGTGTAAATAATTACAATACTTCATCTCAGAAATATAGACAGATATACAAGTGGATTTGTATTTTCTCACAGCTATTAATGTAAAGTGTATTTTTCAGTATTTATAAACCTAGACAAAGCCAAGTACTTCTACTAGTATATATTAATATATTAAGCATCAGCTAATAATGCTGTTGGGCCAAGTTTAAGTAAAAGTTAAGATACAGATATTTTATAATTGGCAAATGCTGATAAAATCGTCATTTAATTGTTGTCATTTGCTATTTCCAATGCTTTCAATACATTAGTATTGAAATTAATTCTTTTAGTGAAAAATCATAGAAAATTTATTATAATTCTCCCCCTGGGTAATGGTTAATGAACTTGTCTAGCAGACAGTTACTATTTAAATGTGAGTTTGGGATAAGAACTCTCTCTTACTGTTGGTGCACTTGGGGCTATCTACAAGAATCTTTCTGTCTTGAAATGTACCTTGGGAGTACCTGACATCATTGGGAGAGTGCAGGAAGCTCAAGTGCTAAAAAAAAGTATTGTCTCTGAAATGCGAGTTAAACCATTATTGGGTACTCTATACTTGTAGTCTCATGCCCAAACTGAACTAAGGTTAGTGAGTAACTATGAATTTTGCCTTAACAAAAATGTTAGTCTTATTAATTGACTGGAGAGGCTTTGTTTACCTTCTTTAATAACCGGCATTTTACATTTGAAGGAATCAATTTGTGTCATGGATATGAATATGGAAAAAGGAATCTGTATCAATTCTAATCATACTAATTCCTCTTGTGAATGGCATGAATCTACTTTTCCCTGTACTTTGTTCAATTACTAGATAACTTAAAATGAGATGCTACAATGAAAAAGAAGAGTGGATGAGTGAGAATTTGGACAAACCACTCTCTCGTATGTAGGAGCAGCAAAAAGCTGTTACTCTCCTTGTCAGTCTTGAAAAGGTCCAGTCACTGTTTCAGATGACATCTAATTCTGCCTAATTTGGACTTTATATTCCTGAAGCAGATACTATTGCTAATCTTTCAAATTTGTATAATGAAATAAGAGCTGAAATGGAATTGGATCATAAATTAGAACATTTTAAATTTTAAAAGAAATCTCAAATTGAAAAGAAAAAATATAGAAAAGAAAAGCAGCAAAATAAGCAATTTCAGGAATATTCAAATTCTACTGACAAACACTGTTGCTGTTGCCACAATTTCATTTCCCTTTTAAAGAAGCCTGGTTGAATGTCCCAGCTGTTTTAACATTTATATCTGTTTACTCATTTCTGTAGATTATTGACAGCTTTTTTTCTTTACTTTTTTTTTCTCTATACAAGGCCCAAGAGCCACTCAAAATTAAAGGTTACTGTGTGATGTTGTTTGAGCATAAGTAAAGCCAAAAAGTGCAGTTTATGAACTTATGTAGGAAAGATAAGTTAACCCTAGATTTGCAGGGTTCAAGATTGTAGTGATCAGGAAGACAGCCTTCCAGGAGGTTGTTCTGCAAAGAGCTTATGGCCACATAGTGTTGAAACACCAGTTACCATACAATCACTGAATTTAAGGATGTTGAGCCTAGTCAGTATTTAGATAGGTGACCACTTGGTAATACCAGGTGCTGTAAGTTTGGATGGATGTGTGGATGGTGTAATGGATAATAGTGCTGAATTGTTAATTAGAGAGTTGAGTTTCAAATCTCATTGGATTTGTTACATTCACTTACATACAAATATCTTTCAGAAATCCGCTTCTTCAAAACTATGGTTTGATTAATGAAACCTGGATCATTAAATTATTATCTCAAAATTCTTACAATCTAAAAATATTTGCTGGCTTTAAATAACCTGCAAAGAATTTGGTAAGCCATAAAAAAAATTTAAAAAAATCAATCACAGATCCACAAAGCAGCAGTTCTTGAGAAGAAGCTGTCCAAGTGGAACCTGCTTCTTATTAATGGAATACAAAGGGAATGATGATTCATTTGTGTCAACATGGCATAGCGGGTTCCAGATGCAAAGGTCAAGGGCTGGTGGGACCAAGGAATGAAGAATATTAAAACATTTGTCATAGAAATAGCAATAGAGGTGAGTCTTGGAACATTTTATCTTTCAGAAAGGGGTTGTAGGGTGGAAAATAATTCATTACCTACAAGTTCAGAGGCACTTTTGAACTGTCAAGACAGGTAGTTAAGAACTGACTAAATCCAGCCCAGATATAGCAGAAATACTCCATTTTTTGTTTGATCTATTTCTTATAAAGAGAGTATATAATGGGGAGTCAGGTACTTACTGAAGTGGTACCATTTTAACAGCATCTTTACTGATGTATGAATTTCACTTGAGGTCTGGATCCAAGTAAAGGTGATGATGAAAAAAAACAACTAAAAAAGATCAAAAATTTTATAATAGTAGCTGACAAATGTTAAAAAAAAAAATTGCTACTAATTGTCTGTTGACTTGAGAAAGAGACTTGAAGTATGAGCAAGAGTTTATGTCCTGAATATCTAAAGACATTCTTTGAAGTATTTTGAATATCTGAGTAAAAACTATAACTTATGGTGACTGTTAGTAGAATTGTTAGGCTTTTGTCTATCATTAAAATTATTTATTTTCGTCCCATTTATTTAGGATCATCATGTCAGTTCGAGACACCTGTGCCGACTGGATCCGAGGGTTAGAGCCACAAGATGATCCTGCCCTTCGAGGAAAGAAGGATCCTGAAAGTGGATTTGAGATAAAAGTGCCCCGCAGAAATGTAGGACCATCAAGCACACAGGTATGGAGGAGAAAAAGAATGTTTGAGAGATACTCTTTTTTTATATATATATTATTTATTTAAAAATGATTCTATCGCTACATAAGAGTTCTCATGTTTCCAAACAAGAGGCGAAAACTTCAATATAATTATTTGAATTAAATTGAATACCAAGTACTAAGCTCTGTTCCATCTTCAAGCGAAATTTTTTTTGGAATAACTAATTACTGAAACTTACGCATTTTATAAGCATATTCATTATTAAAATTAAAATTACTATGTTAACGGCTAGAGCAATTATTTAAAAAAAAAAAGGTGGGGGTGTAAGGGTTAATAATTTGTATCAATATCTCAGTTACATTCAAAGCGATAAAGTCAGGGTAAGGTTGGGGTGTCTAAATTTAAAGCGGAAGATGACATCGTCTAGTCTGGTTAAGTGTCTATGAAGATTTATTTATTTTTTTTTATTTTATTTTTTATTTTTTACCCTGAAAGGGTTTTGTGTATACATAAAAAAAAAAACTGTCATAATTCGCTAACATTTGTTTTTCTGACGACTTCATAATTTTTTTTTTTTTTTTATTGGGTAAGGCATTTAAACTTTTTATTTAGACTATGGAGTTTAAAATTTGTATTTATTATTTTATAGTTTGTTTTTTATGCTAATTATTCAATGCGAAAATTTGATGATGTCGGCAAAAAACTGTTAACTCGTGTCTATTGTTTAATAAATTTTTATTATTTAGAAACTTGATAATGTGTAGTTTTTCATGTAGGCATAAAGGGCATGGGTCATCCCAAGTTTTACAAGTTCTAGTTTTGTTTATAATTTTCCATTTTACTTTTGGTGTTTTATTCATTTCCTTCAAATGCCAAAAATATTTAGATAGAGATGTTTGATTTCTTTTATTAATATTTTTGAAGGTGCACTTATGCTACTTCCATCTGGTTTTAAATTCATTCTTCGTAGACCCAATGTATATCATATTAGTATTAGGACTCTCAATGGATGAGATAGTACATTGGTATACCACAGATTTTATGCGGCATTTATTTTCCAATGGGCAGTCTTCTGGGTTTCTACAATCGCATAATTTTTCACTATTTTTGTCTAATTTAAGTGTAGGGTTTTTATTAATACTATTCTGGCATGGGGGTTTATTCAGGATTTTATTAGTGTGTTTTTTTATTATACTTTCTAGATTTTCAGTGCAACTGTAACTTAATTTTAGGGTGTTTTTATTAAATATTTTACTAAGTCTACTATTAGTAGGAAAGTGTTTTTCAATTAAAGCAAGGAATTTCTGTCCTAGCTTAATACTAACCATTTGGTTGAACAGAGAGGTATACCAAATGATTTTTCTTTTTCTGTTTTTCTTCTGGTTAGTACAATTGTTTCTATAATTGATGTTAGCATTTTTGTATCCACTATTTTTTAGGGTTGCATTATAAAAATTACTGTGTTGTTGGAATATTTCTTTATTAGCAGAGTTAATGCTGATTCTATTCTCTGTTGATGAGGGTATATGCTTAATTATGGATGGAGGGTTGTTTGACCTAGGGTGTATATACAAGGGGTTAGTATTAGGTTTTCTATAAGGTAGGTATGTGTTGTTTGTTAAATCTAGAGTTACATCGAGGAAGTTTACCCTTTTTAATTTAGTACAGACTGTTGTTTTTACATTTAGATTTCTAAATTCACTATATATAATCTTTCTAATTTTCTCTATTTTAAAATCAGTGGAACTCCTCACTACCATGAGCCTGTCATCTCTATACAGCCTGATGTCCTTAATATCTAATTCACGATGCACGGTCAGGTTGTACAGTATTAAAAGACCGACAAGGTCAGAAGACTCTGCAGAGTCTAAAGATCCCATAGTGATGTCAAAATGGTCATGATTGTTTTTAATCCATTGGTCCCCATTATGAATGAGGACAGATTTTTTTTACACTGAGAATTATATTTATTTCTTCCTTTGTCAGGTCAGAATACACAGCAGCAAACTCCAGGGCATTTGTGAACATATCCTTCGATATTGACGGGTAGTAATCCACAATATCGAACTGTAATAGGGTGCAATCAGGTTTATTATTAATATTGGTAAACCAATTGATGACATATTTGGTATTAATCCATAATTTTAATCCAAGGTGGTTTTTAATTTGCCAAGTAATTCTTTCTAGGATTCTTTTGCTTATCTTACTGATGTCGGGTAGGATTAATCATTCTTGTAGTAGAGTTTTCCATAAAATCTTGTTTGTGGTCTTTAAGAGTTATGTAACATTCCTTTTCAGCAAGTTTGCCTATTCTATCGCTAATTTTTAATTTATCAGTAATTTTTTTACTAGTTCTATTAATGCTATCAACCATATTTATGTTGTTGTTGTATGCTTTTTTATAAGTCCTAGTTAAATTTTTTTTAATTAAGTTGTTGTAGTCATCTGCTGTCAATTTATAGAAGTTGCCAGTTTTGTCAGACTAAACTAGTATTTTATCACAATCATTTATGCTTTTAACTATTTGGTCTAGATGTCTAGTGGCTTTTCTTTTTTTTGAAAGGAGATGTTATTGATAATGTTGAGTAGGTCTTGTTCAAATTCATATAGCTGTTTGTTGAATGGTGCAACTTTTTTACTTTTAAAGCCATAAACTTTGTGTTCTTTATTTGTTGAGTTATTCCCACGAAAGGAGAAGAACGCTTTCCATCTCATTCTTCTAATTAATTCCTCTGTTTTTTTGTAAAAGTTTAACAAAATAATTCCGTTTGTTAGTGTGTGGAATGTTCTTCAGAGAAATTCCGAAATTTACTTTTTCCATATTTTTAAAGAAGTTATTTTAAAAATAAAGGTTCAGAGTGCTTGACCTTAATTTGGGAGCCAATATATGTGTAAAAATATATAGAAAATAGGAAAGAACTTGTTAGGTAAATAATCCAAAGTTCTTTAGTATTTTTGTTATTATTTTAAAAAAATAGTGCTCGATACAAAAATAGAGCATAAATATAATTATTTATTTAAAAATATGATTCCATCGCTACATAAGAGTTCTCATGTTTCAAAACAAGAGCCAAAAACTTCAATATAATTATTTGAATTAAATTAAATTAAAGTACCAAGCTCTGTTCCATCTTCAAGCGAAATTTTTTTTGGAATAACTAATTCCTGAAATTTACGCGTTTTATAAGCATGTTCATTATTAAAATTAAAATTACTATGGTAACGGCTAGCGCAATTATTTAAAAAAAAAAGTGGGGACGTAAGGGTTAATAATTTGTATCAATATCTCATTTACATTCAAAGAGGTATATATATATATACTCAGGCAGTGTGAAAAAACCTAGATAATACAATTTGTAAATAAAAAATATTAAATAAACTGATATCTGGGTGTGGGGAATTCAGTAAAGAAAGCAAAGATTGAAAACATCCGTGCCGCTTGAAAATAATCAATCGGCACCGCAATGTCGAGCCAAAAGAAAAAACAGAGTAACTTGAGTTAAAACACAAAAGTGCTCAATACAATACACTTGTGGATCATCATGATAAATCTGTCTAAAGAGGGTTGGCCCAAATAAAGTATTATTGAAAAAAACAACCACCAGAAAGAATTAAAAAATTAGCATAAACACAAAAACGAGACAAAGAAAAACAAAGGAAAGATATTTTATTGGAAAAAATGGCCACCCAATAAAAAGACAAAAAACAACTACTATTCCATTATTCAAGTAACCAGCCTTTTTTATGTCTACAACCATTAAGTATTTCCGATCTCTGGTTGAGTAACATATTAAGGGTATTATAAGTACCTATAACTAATTTTTCCTCCATATACAGGAGGCAATACTTATTGCCAACATTATATTTGCAGCATTATTTATTATCTCCAATTTTAATATCGTATCTATGCCTTACTCCTTTTTAATTTTTCACACATTCAGCCAAATTATATGGTGGCATGAACTATAAGATTTTCTTAACCCTATTTTTCCCCCTTTTACGTACATTAGAAGTTTCATCCATGTTTTTATAGACAAGCTTGGTTTTATAACCACAATTTTTTACTGCCAACTCGTAATTGTATTTGCTTTGGTTAAAAATGTTGATATTAGAGGAATTGATAGACAATCTAAATTTAATGCTATTAGAGATATGTTTAAAAAATTTTCTAGGGTGATTAGAGCCTACATTAATATAACATGGATATTGGTTGTTTTCCCTAAATGGGGATATGATACAGTTTTTTTTTTTTTTTTTTTAAATATCTTTTGGCCGAACCTCCTTTGTTTTTCTGTCTTGATTTTATTTTTATGCTAATTTTTTTATTCTTTCTGGTGGCAGTTTTTTTCAATAAAATGTCTTTAGCCAGATTTATCCTGATGATCTGTTAGGTGAAACCTAGGTAGGTAGGTTCTGGATCATTAGGTTTTATATATATTACACACACACAAAATATTTAATAAAAGCATTTTTATTTTTATTTATTTTTTTTTCAGTTAATTTTAAATCAGCAAGAAAAATGCTATATTTCTATCATTAATATTTTAAAGCAACAAAAGAAATTATGGTTTGTTCTGTTTGATTCCTGTAGGTTTTGACACATTTTGTCAGGATCATAATGAAAATTCTTCTCGGCTTATGAATCATAATGATATCACTATATATGTAAGCAAATCGGATCAAATGTTCAGACTTACTTTCTCGATTCCAAGTTTTACAGAAGTGATATTCACTTGGCCAGGGGTTAAATAATAAACTGAATTTATTGACAGATATCATAAAACTTCTAAAAAAAAAACATTATTTAAACTTGTTTTGAATAAAATTTATGGTCAGTCTTTGTTTAATGTTAGCATTCTATTCCTTAATGTTGAGCACATACAAAGATTGCTTGCTTTGAAAGAGTTATCTTTCAGAAATACACCGGTCAAGACTTGAATTTTTTTTTTTTATGAAATGATTGTATTTGCTGCTTTTATTATTTAGAGATGTGTATGTATGTGTATATATATATATATATATATATATATATATATATATATATAAATTAAATATAACAGACAATGTCTATTATGTCTGATCATGTGCTGTTAGAATGTTTGATTTAATTTCTGGTGAAAATAAAGACAAAAATATATATATGTTAGCTATTTCCTTTATAAATAAATATTTTCCATGATATCACTATATATGTAATCAAATCAGATCAAATGTTCAGACTTACTTTCTCGATTCCAAGTTTTACAGAAGTGATATCCACTTGGCCAGGGGTTAAATAATAAACTGAATTAATAAAATCATCAATCTTCTCTGCATATATTAGAAACTTTTTTGTAAACTTTACCACGTTTACACAAACCATGTTGCCCATTCAAATCTTATTAGGCATGAAATGACCTAATGAAGCTTGATATGCCTTTAAAACTAACAATCAATCATGATGTTTCCAAGATTTTTGGTTGAATTGAGGTCAGATGTGGTTATCAGAGGCCATAAAAAAGGGGGGAAGTATTGATATGCACAACTTTGAATACCCTAAGTAGCCAGTGCTTGCTGTTGTAGGTTGAAATTTATAAAATCTTTCAGAAAAATAGATTTCACAAGTTCAGTATCTGTTATTGCTCTTTCCTTGAGTGAGAGAGCAACAAAACCCCTTGTAACACCAAAGATGAACTGAAAGCAAGGATTATGGCAACATTTGCTAAATTTAAATGAAGAGACCGTCCAGAAAAATGGCAGGAGATTCCGAAGTCCTCTGGATGCTGTGGTTGAAGCTAATGCCAATTTTTGTTGAATAAATTTACTCTTTAGTATTTCTAGATATTTTTTCATGATTTTGGTAAATATATTTGTTAAAATGACATGTCAGTGTTATTTTAATTTTTGTGTAATCTAGACGACAATTTATCCATCGCACTCTGCATATATTAGAACCTTTATGTATATTTGTACACGTGTGTGTGTGTGTATATATATATATATATAATCTGTACATACATACATATACACACACACATATATATATATATATATATATATATATATATATATATATTGCAAACTTGAAAGTTTTTTTTTTTCGTGATTTGTTTCATCCATTAAGATTTCATCAAACTGGACTTTGTTGACTTTACCACGTTTACACATGCACACGAAACGAGAGACACAGGCAGTGTGAATTTGTGAAAGAATTTTTCTCAATCTAGCCAAATTCATCTGTATTCTTTTTCTTTTTTTCTCTCCATTTGTTGATATGTAAAATTATATATATATACACACACACACACACACACATTATAGAGCCTTAATATTATATTATTAATATATATATATATTAATAATAAATATACATTTGTTGCTTGGTGCAGCTCTGTGTTTCATGCACCTGTTTTATTACCACTAGTGCTCACTGTGCGATATTTTATATTTGTATATGTAAATATACATGTGAATCAGGACAAAAGGAAAACTTATCTTAGCCAACACATTTCGTCCTCTGAGGGACTTTATCAAAACACATTTGCCTTGATAAAATACCTCAGAGGATGAAACGCTTCACTTAAGATAAGTTTTCTTTTTGTCTTATTATTGTCCTCTTACAGATATACTATATCTGAAATTTTTACAAATCTACATGTGTATTTTTTCATTTTTTTTTTTTTTTTAATTTTCAGCTGTACATGGTACGAACCATGCTGGAATCACTGATTGCTGAAAAGAGTGGTGGTAAAAGGACTTTACGCAAAGACATTGATTATCATCATCTAATGAACATTGATGGCTTTCATAAAACATCTTTCTTCTGGAGTTACTTACTCAATTTTAATGGTAAATAATTTATGATAATAATTTTAATGGTAAATGGAGTGAATTTCTGGTTCTTTCAATTTCTCACATTTTTTTTTCTGATCCAATTCCAGTTTTATTTAAAATTGCTTCTTTTTTTTTTTTTTTTTTTTTTCTTCAGAATCTTTGCAAAGCTGTTGTGATTTGTCTCAGTTATGGTATCGGGAGTTTTTCCTTGAAATGACCATGGGAAAACGAATACAGGTAATTCATTAAGAAAACAGACAGGATTTTTACTTCAGGGAGCTAAGAAACTATTGAATCATAAATAATTTCAATTTTTTGTTTATCAACTTCATTATTCAAAAAATAAAGTACAATTACTTCTTATTCAATAAATGTATATATATATATGTATATGCAATGACTTGTTGCTACTTTTCAACAAACTCTGACACATTTTAAGTAAAAAAAGAAAAGTTTTCACATGAAAGAGTTTTTGCCATTTAAATCTGGTTTTAGAACATTTTCTCCATCAAAGCATTTTATTTTTTATTTTTTTCAGTGTCCCAAAAAAAGGTAATAATCAGTTGGTACAAGGTTAGGTGAATATGGTGGGTGGGGGGTAGAACAGACCAACCAAGTTTCAAAACCTTTTTCTTGTATTATTCTTGCTGTATAAAGCTTTGCATTGTCATAGAGAACATAGGAACTCTAAATTAATAATACCCTATCAATCCCACCACGCATACATTGACTTTCTTTTACTGAACTTAGCTTTCAGGGTCATTTGTAGAGATTATCAATTGCATTGAACAGTGTCATATGTTAGCATAGTTCAAATTGATTCTTAACTGCCATGTATAATTCGTAGTGTGTAGAACAGACCAACCAAGCCCATTCATTATTACAAGTGATTACCCAAAATGAAAATATTACTTATGACTCAAACTTTATTGTATAATATACTGTCATGATGGAAGTGTGGAGCATTTATGTTTTAGTGTATTTTTTGCAACATTTTGTCATATCAAATAGAGGATTTTGTGAATTACATTGTACATTATATTGTCATCAATTAAGTTGTATAGATATAGTCTTTAAACAAAACAATCAGATAATATTCTAGAAAAGAATATTGAAATGCATTCTATACATAAAACAACTCAAGAAGATATATAAAATTTAGGAGTTGCAAATTGAGAGGGCTTGTAGGTCATGCTAGGAGTGATATGATTGTGAAAATCTTTTCATTGGTCATGTGAGCTATGTGAGAGGAGTCCTGCTGTAACACACATAGCTATCTAGGGCTTCACCAACATGTCCAACACCTTGATGTAGGTGGGTGGTATTGACCTTGAGGCCATTGTTGCTCACAACTTCCAGGACCATGTGCAAAGTGAATTTCCTGTATATTACTCTGTCTCCATGAGGTTTAAGAAAAGTCACCTATTAGTCTTCTGGTTCACTCGGACATTCTAGTTGGTGAATTAGTACCTTGATAACAGTGTGACTTTTCATTTTCTGTCACAGATTGCAAACTGCTCTTAATACATTTGAAAGAGAAATGACAATGTTAATATTAAGCACATGTCAAATGACATTGTTTAGTTGTCTTCCATTTATGACCTGCTAACGATAGGTTTTCAAACACCTGGCACACTCTGTAGAATGTGTAGCCAGGGTTGCCAGAGTGGGCAGTTTTTGAAAGCCCAGCACTTCTTATTTTCCAAAATTTAACCAATTGACTAAATATTTTTTTTTAATCTCTTTGTCAGGCCACTAATTTCTCCTTCAAAATTTTGAATTCTGTTACTTTCAATTGGTGTTACTTTTAAAATAAGCTGGTTTACTAATAAGAAAATCAATTCAAAATTTAATAGCAATGAAAGGATCTTTCAAATGTAGGTAATTTCTCAACTTGTTGCTCAATTTAGAAATCCTACTGTCTAGCAATAAATTGTTGGGGTGACATCTTTTTATTTAAAAATTTAAATTTCTCAATTCGGACAAAATCTATATTTGATTTGAAAAGAATTACATTCATTTGTTTATTTTTATTTTTTTTTTTAATATTTTCTTGTATTAGTTTCCAATTGAGATGTCTATGCCATGGGTTCTGACAGATCACATTTTGGAGACTAAAGAATCTTCAATGATGGAGTAAGTAACCCTTTTATATTTGATTTTCATTACTTTCTCACTCTGCATGATAATTAACCATGTTGTTGGTGAGATTTTAATATATCAAAATAAAGAAACGAGATCAACAGTAAAACAGAAATTATCATCATTCTATGATTTGTTAAAAATAATGTGCCAATCTTATGTTTAACTTGTTAAATCAGCCTAAGAATATCAAGATGAAAATGTACAAACATTTGTGAGAGGAGAATAATGTCAAAGTATTTATATGAGAGTAATGCACAGACATTTGTGAGATGAAAAATAGTTGCAAATCAATAATCTGTCAGTTATTCATTCTCCAATTCTTTTTCACTTTCAATGTAATTGTTACTCTGTCAAATCGTATATCACAGGGGTCAGCAACATTTTGCTGTGTGCCGACTTAGGGTTTTAAAATCATTCAGTATGCCGACAGCATGCGTGTTTTTATACAAGTCAAGGTCAATATACCTGTTCTACAATATATTTTATATAGTAATATATGATATATATACTTTAGTAGATATTAAAATTGAAACGGCTAAATATCTTTGCGTTGTAGTAGTTATTGGTTTGGACTTTGTGATGTCATTTGCGGTTGCATGTCATTGGAAATTGCTTGGTGTGGCACATGCCTGTAGGTTGCCGACCCCTGGTATATCATAAAACTTTTTTTTTTTAATTCTTTAAAAAAAAAAAATTCAAACTATAATATAATATCCTATTCTTGTTTAAAACACATTAAAGTGTCTTCTAAATATTTCTTCTTTGCCTACAATTCCTCTAAAATTTTACTAATCACCGATGTCAACTATTATCAGTGTTACTTTTATTTGAGTAAATCTTATGGACATTTTCTATATGTTCCTTCTTTCATGATGTTGACATCAGTACTAGCTCGTCTCTGGCCATACTTCTATTACTCACAACTATATACTAAAAAAAAGGAATATTGACTTATGTGCTAGACATGTAATAAACGATGTACAGTGGAACATACATTTATAAAATGTATAGATTTAAGTCCGGTTCGTGAAAAGTATTATAAAGGCAAACAATATGAATGAACTCTTAAACAGGATTGATCCAAATAAATTTAAGGAAACCAAGGTATGTTAAAAAATTTAAGCAATATCTAATATTAAAAAATAAGTAAATGAACAAAATAAAATAGTCTTCAACTGAAGTTCATACTAAAATCATTAACTTTATAAAGGCTATCACTTTCAACTGAATGATACTGAAATATTATTCACAAATTAAATTTTATACACAAACCATGTTGCCCATTCAAATCTTATTAGGCATGAAATGACCTAATGAAGCTTGATATGCCTTTAAAACTAACAATCAATCATGATGTTTCCAAGATTTTTGGTTGAATTGAGGTCAGATGTGGTTATCAGAGGCCATAAAAAAGGGGGAAATATTGATATGCACAACTTTGAATACCCTCAAACCTCATCAAGAATAGAATGTATGTTGCTTTAGGAATAAAACCTCTAACTATAAAACAATAGGAGTAGATAGGTTTGCCTATCATCCAGTTCACACACTTGAACAGGAGTAGAGGTTTATCTATTGTTTACTGTTTAGAATTGGGTTTCTGATTCCTTCTAAATTCTACTTCCACACTATACTTCTAACTTCACCGATTGAAATGTTATTCACTACTACTGACTTCTTAAAGTCTAGAGTTAGCCATTACATTTCCTGCATAGCCCCAAAGACTTCACTTGCCCTTTCTTATGCTCATGACACCACACAGTAACCCTCTGCCTTGAATGGCTCTTAGGCTTTGTATTGGGTGAACATTAGTAAAAAATACACAACTACTATTACAGTTTAAATTAAAAATAAATATCCAACAATGAGTATTTAATAGTATTATTTGTGTATTTTTGTTTGGTTTAAAAGAGAATATAAAGAATATATCCATTAAACTCCTCAGACAGCAATACCTTGATTATTGTGTGGGGCACAGTTGAGCGAGAAACCAATAAAACTCCTTGTAACACCAAAGATGAACTGAAGGCAAGGATTATGGCCACATTCACAAACTTAAACAAAGAGACTTATCCAGAAGAGTTGCAGGAGATTCTTAATTTGTCTGTAGGCCGTGGCTGAAGGCAGTGGCAATTTTATTGAATTAATTTATCCTTTAGTATTTCAAGATATTTTTTGTGTAATTTTGGTAAATATATGTTAAAATGAGAAGTCTGTGTTGTTTTCATTTTCACATAATTTAGATGCCCATTTATCCATTGCACTATGTGAGATATATGTATATATGTGTGTGTTTGTGTAAGAGAGAGAATGAGATTTAATAAACTAGAAAATTTAATTTTTAATGTTCTACCATAACAAATTTATTCATTTTTTTTATTCAATAATTTAAATATTACTTTCTTCTATTGTGAGACTTGGATGTTCTGGCTGATCAATTACATTCAACTGGGACCAATAACTGTAGACGAAACAATAAACTTTAAATTTCTCTCTTGTATATTTATGTTGACATTTTGTTTGTATATCTACATAAGTGCTTTTTTTCTTTTTCAGGTATGTCCTTTACCCACTCGATTTGTACAATGATTGTGCACATTATGCATTGACCAAATTCAGAAAACAGTTTCTCTATGATGAAATAGAAGCTGAGGTTAGTGGGAAAAGTTGTCAATAATATTATTTCTTTATTTGCTCTCCATTCAGATAAGAGACCAAATTATAAAACCATTATATGTGCTTAAATGTTAAAGTCATGGATTAAAGCATATTTAAGTTTTAAAAATACTAATGAATTACTTTCTATACTAGTTTGCATTTAGATAGATTTTTAGTTTTCTTAAAATGTTTTATGCTGTCAAACACACACACACACACACACATATATATATATATATATATATATATATATACATACACACACAAGCTTAATAGCCGCCTTTTCAAGTGGCATATAAGTTAGCTCCTGCATAGGGCTTTTGATTAGGCATTCATCACAGCAGGTTGGGAGGAGTAGATGTGATAGGCAACAACAGATGAACTCAAAATTGATTGCAGCATCTAAGTATTGCATTAATATTTCAGCTTACCTTTTAAAATTTCAACAATAATTCTTCTGTCGCCAAAGACAAATTTATGTATGTAGGTCCTTACTTTCTGTAGAAATAATTATTTTTATTTGAGGAGTGACTTTCGCTGGATTTTTCAATTAATTTTGATTATTCCCAAATTTATTTCCCAGTTATAAAAATTATCATATAAAAAAAATTTGTTGTGAAAAATCATGTAAATCACTGTAAATAATTGCAGTAATGAAAACTTAGGAATCTAAAATTTTGGCCCGGAATGTTTTTAATTTGCTCACACTCATTAGCATCATTATCTAGCAGTATAGTTGAAAATACAATTTTATTTTGGAACACTGTAATTTGAGAACAGTAATTTTTTTATGTGCTATTGAAAATTAGAGTTGTGTCCCTTTAATTGTTTTTATCAGTAGAAACCAAGAGTGTGAATTTGAAAACAATTGTAACAATGAAAACTTGGTAATCCTAAATTTCGGGACTGCAGGTCCGGTTGGGGCCCAAAATGGTTTTAATTTGCTCAAAATCATATATGTTGGTCTATGGCTTCTAGGAGTAAAGTGGAAAAAATGTGATACACTGACATTGGCATTTATGATATAGGAGGAGATGAGCTATTGGTAGTTGTGTCCCTTTACTTGAAAAAGTGTGACACACATTATTGTATTTATTATACAGTGTGCAATATATATATATATATATATATATATATATATATATAGCACCCTGTATGTATATAATGCTCTGTAAATTTACATCGAGCACTATTTTGTAAAAATAAAAATATCTATAAGAATACCGGATTATATATCTTACTGTTTTTTCTTTTTATATATATATATATATATATATAATCACGGCTGTTTAAAACCCTTGTTTTTGTCATATAGGAAAATCCAACATGGCGCGTAAACAAAATATTCGGCAACAAAATCTCATTCGTCAGTAACATTTTAAACACCTCATAGAATGTCAAGTTCTTAAAGAAAACCTATGCTAAAGTGTTTTCCTGAATCCTTGATGACTTGGCTGTCCGAAAATGATAATATCAAGATAAAATAATGGAAACTGGCCGTGAAAAATACAATTATGTAACAGGTTTTTCGATCAATTAGTAAACTTCTGGACCTTTTAGGGCGACTTTATAGGATCCAGACGGCTATTGTTTGCACATGGAATTATTCACTGGTAATTAATCTTGATTTGGCTGTGGAAAATGTCACTTTCGGTGGTTAGCATTAAGAAATTATGCCCAATTTTCTGAGAAAAATCCTTTTTTAATGAAAAAATATTTATTTTCGCTTTAAAATAACATCCTTCAAAATTCATTCCTTTCTCTTTCATTTGGCATGAACATCATTGAATAAAAAGAACGGCTAAATGGGCCGGCGATGGGAAATATGAAAGATATGCGTCGAAAAAAGACAATGTCGTCTGCTAAGTGTTGTTGTCATCACCCGGGTCACGAGGTGTTAAAAACAAAACAAAACTCATCAAGCCATTGTTCAAACATAGGTTATATCAAACTCTAGTCATTGTAAACCCTTTTTTTTTTCACTCTTTGCTTTTATCTGGGAGTGGTGGGTTTTATTACAACTTGTTCTAAGGTTTGCCGTTTATTGCTGGCTGGCCGACCTTTGACCTAGACGTCAAAGTCAATTAGGTTTACTTTCCTTATCGCTATTTTTTGGAGAAAAAAAAAAACGTTTGGTTTCTGGTGGTTAGGAATTGCAGATTACCTTGCCTTTTACTAAGATTTCCGTGGCTGGGTGTCAATTTTTTTTTAACCCTTGGCAGTCATATAATTGAAAATTAACAATGGATTTTGTCGCATTTTGTTCACCTAGGAATGTTGACTTCCTTCAAAACTCTCAATTTTATGCCTGAAATAGTTTGATTATGATTTAGGCTTTCTGATTTTCAAAAAAAAAAAAAAAATGGTTAATTTCCTATTAATGGGGGAAATATTTGTTTAGAACAAAGAAAAAATGCAAAATTTTCACTATTTTTCACATTTTACCCACTAAAAAAATTTTGAGTCATTTACACCAGCTAATTTTACTTTTAAATGAAAGAATATATCCTTTGCTTTCAGAAAATACCTAGTTTCATGGGGTTCAGATCAAAAGTTTCCTTGATATTAGTTTAGATGATGATAAAACGGTCATTTTTCAATATTTTACCCCTATAAAATTATGAAAATCCATTTTTTGAGAGAAAATAAGCTGTGACAAAATGACTTTTGCCATTTTTGTGATGATTTTCACTTGGGAAAGACAATTTTTACCATAGGAAACCTGAATTGACTTTATTTAAGTTCAGTGGGGCTATAGGAAACCTCAAACAGCTGTGATATATATATATATATATATATATATATATATATATATATATATATATATATATATATATATATGAAATGTTGCTTTTTTTAAATAAGTTAATGCTAAAGAACTGGATTCTAACTCCATCTGTTCTTTCTCAAGGTATATATAGTGTGCATTTTTTTTTTTTTTACTGTTTTTGTTTTTTAATGTAACTCTTTACAATAACTATAAAAAGGTTTATTTTTCTTAATTGATTTTAATGTCTGTTTTTATTGTATTATTGAATAACTGAGATAATTGAAAATCAGGATATATTCTGAATAAAACTTCAGATGACTACTATTTTATATCAAAATACATCAGAAATTTAGTATCATCTGAGGCAACACAACTGCCATTCATTGTAACTACTGAAGGTCATAGGCCAACTGAACTTACCACCAATATCACATAATCATCAAATGATTGTTAATTTATAAGCTTAAGTCAAATATCTATTCATAATGAAATTAAAGATAAGCTACAAAAAAGGAAGAAGAGTTAAAATGACTCGATTTAAATATAATGCTTTTGTAGAAGATACATCTGCTTTGATATTAATAAATTGTATATTTATATAAAATAATGGTTGCAACTGGATTACTTATATATTTTCCATTTTTCTTATTTTATATACTCTGAAATTTACAGTTTTCAGAATGTCTTTTTTTTTTTTTTTTTCCTTTTCAAGGTCAATCTGTGTTTTGATCAATTTGTCTACAAACTCACAGACCAAATTTTTGCGTATTACAAACACTTAGCAGGAAGGTAAGAGGATTTTTAACTTTTTTATGTTGCAAAGGTAGCAAAGTTGTAGAAGTCCCAGTAGATTAGGATAGAATTTTGTGTGTCAGAGCATTTACTTGAATAAATCAATTTCTTTAAATAATTACCATTGATCTCACAAGGCAGGAAATTAATCAACAATTTTTTTTTTTTAAATATTGTTTTGTTTTAAAAATGCAATTCTGTTTCAAATTAACCTGTTGATAGGAATAGATGTTCTTTGTTCAGAACATGTAATAAAGTAAAAACGTTTTTATTTTTTTTATTTTCATCATTGACCGAAATCAATTTTTCATATTTCAAGCAAATATTTTAAAAATCACTTAAATAATTTTTTTTATTCTTTGGTTCACATTTCAAGGAGATGGTGGCCTTTTATGAGCGAAATATCATACTATAATTAAAGATTAAATATGCCCACAGTACTTTTGAATATTAACAAGGAGAAATCTCTTGGTGCAGAGGAATCAGTTTACCAGGCAATTGCAAAAAATGATATCTATCTGCACCTCAAATCAAGAGGTGTGTGGCACCAGAAGATGTTTATGTTGGGAATCCTGTATATGCATATAACTAGAAACACAAAATTACTAACTGACACTGTGGGGATGTACCCTCTGGACTTGAACCTGTATGATGAGTGGTTAGAGAAGATTGTATTGAATATGACATAAGGTCATGTTTAAAGTGGAAGTCCTAAACATGTATGAGATTGGTAACAAAAATTGATTAACTCCCTGAGCACTTGATTAGTGAGTCTTCTCAGACATCAGGGACTGGCCATGACTCCAGAACATGATTTTATTTCTTCAATCCTCTAAAAAGAAAATCAATAGATCAAATATATTTCGACTTCTTTCAAAATGTGAATACATTCATCAAAATACACTAATTAACTAAAATCTATCCAATTATGCAAGGCCCAAGAGCCACTTAAGGTAGGGAGTTACTGAATAAGGTTGTTGTAGGGAGCATAAGAGAAGGAGTAAGAAGTGCAGATTATGAGGATATGTAAGAATGGTTGACAGTAGACTTGTAGTGATCTGGGAAGCATCCTCTTGAGAGTCTGTTCTACAAAGCAGCAGTTCTTGGGAAGAAGCTGTCTGAACCTTCTTACTGATAGAATAAGAGGATAGGAATGATTCAGCCCAGTGTACATGACATGACATGGTATGTTTTAACCATAACTGTCCGAACTGGTGGAACTAATGAATATAGCTTGTCAGAACATTTGCCATGGAAATAGTGATAATTATAATAAACAATGGATGGGTCTTGCATTAAAAATTGTTTTTTTTTTTTTTTTGTTTTTTTGTTTTTACTATAAATGGAAGAGTTGATACTTTTTATACCAATATCTGTAATCCTGATTTTATCAGCAAAGGGAAAGAAGTTCAAAAGCGAGCAAAAATTGGTAAACTGGACTGTCAAGGGGGGGGGGTCCATTGATGCCACTATTATTTTAACTATCTTCCATCCTCAGCAATGTTTATTGTTATAAAAAGCAATGATTGGAATTGTAATAAAACCTAAACATATGAAAGTGAATTTATACATTTTCTTTGTTCTTGAGAATTGACAACAAAAATAAGTACTATTTATTTATTAGATTGTTTATTTAGACTATTTATATTTATTGAAAGGATTAGCAAAACATTGACTAATTGCCAATTGATTCATACTTTATAAGGATTTTCTTATAGTTGGTTCACAATAATAAATGTTTATAAATTTATGAATAAAAAGTAGTTTTCATATTTATTTTTTTTATAAATTGGTAAATGATAAATATTGCATTAATTTTAATTGTATTGGTTTTTAGAATGTTGTAAATATAAAATTATTCTTGTAAATAAACAATCTAACAAATAGTGTTTGATATTTTTGTTGTAGCTTCTCGAGAACAAAAAAAAAATGGATAAATTCACTTTCATCATATGTTTAGGTGTTATTACAGTTCTAATCATTCCTTTTTAAAACAACAAACAATTCAGGTAGTTAAAATAATAGCAGTGTCAATAAAAAAAACATTCTTTTAACACTTTTTTTTTTTTTTTTTTTCTTGCAGGGTTGGGTGGACACAAAAGTCAAAGTTTGCCCCAAAATTAATCTCTTTAGTCTTTCAAAAATACTTTCTTTATCTTGTATCATTAAATATGTATTGATTTTTTTTTTTTATATATCACTGTAATTTGTAACGTTTTCTTCTCTAGTATTATGCTAGACAAACGTTTTCGAGCAGAATGTGCCAGTGTTGGTGCTCGTATCAATTTCCCCATAGCCAACCGCTACACAACTATACTTAAACAGAGGCATGTACAGGTAAGAGAACTTTAATTAACTCCTCTTGATGTTTATAAATGATTTGGGAAAATTCATTTCTTAAAAATATTGTTTGATAAGTTCCTATAACAAAATGGCTTTCAAAATTCTATTTTCAAATAACCAACTTTATTATATGGTCAGTTTACTATTTGTAAAGTCTGATATAAAAACCATTAAAAATATATTTATATGACTTGATGTGTCAGAAACCTGATCTTGTCTATTCTTTTTCAGATCCTTGGCAGATCTATTGATCTGAATCATTTAATTGGACAAAGAATCAATGCCTCTTTACAAAAATCTTTAGATATTGCAATCGCTAGATTTGAAGCAGGGGACCTTACTGGCTGTGTGGTAAGTAAAGAAAAACATATAGTCAAGGAATAACTATCGTCATTTATATGCAAACTGTTTTCTTCATCTTTGTTGCTGTTATAAATTTTGGGGCCCTCTGGCCATCATCAATCTGGCATATACTTCAGGAGAATTTTAAAGAATAAAAAATTCTAGCAATAGATTTTAATAGTAAAAAAGAAAAAAAATTACCAAAACTTCCAAGAAAATTAAATTTCAGCATTAAATGACCCTTAAGGAGTTGATATGCCATTACCAAAACCAAAATTCTTGTCTTAATTATTTACCATTTATTTTTATTTTTCCATTTTATTATATTCAACAGGAGCTTGAAGGTCTAATAGAATGCAATCGATTGGCACACAAACTTTTACGCCAGTACCTAACAATGAACGATTTTGATGCTATGTTCCGTGAAGCAAACCACAATGTGTCTGCACCATACGGCCGTATCACACTCCATGTCTTCTGGGAACTCTACTATGATTTCTTGCCTAACTATTGCTACAATGCAGCAACTAACAGGTAATCACCTCTTCCATATAACCCTTCAGTTTTGATTGCTTTGTTTTTGTGTTAGGTTTATTATTTTTGCACAAAATGAAGTACTTATTTTCTTTTTGATAAAATTCATGCTTTATCTGTCTGTCTATATATAAAATTCTGTGACTTCTATTAGTCTGTCCATCCTTTCACACACTCTAAAATAGCCATACATTGACCAATCAAAACAAAATTTTGGGGAGAAGTGCAAACAGCTAAGGAGGTACAAAGTACAGTTGATTTTACTTGGGTACAATAAATTTTCATTCAATTTTTTGGGGGACGGAAATTAAGTTTTATTATTTAACATACAGAATATTCCCACTATTTTAAAAAATAATTTAATAATTTAGCAAATACTAATTTAATAAAAATGGAATATTGTTTTTTGCATATCTTCAAGTTTTTATATATACAAGAATTTACCTAATTCAACAGTAAAAAGGTAGAACCTAGATGTCAATCAAGTAGCACGCTTAAACGCACATAGTCCTGGCACCAGAGGTAAAAAGCTTTTCATAGCAGTAGCCATGAAAATGTTTGTAGAAAAGACAGAGGGAAGCCACGTCACATCAGTGAGAAAGTAACTGAAGTCGAGATGGCAAGTCAGGATTGATTACATGACAGACTTTTCTTTGGATTTTGTCAAGAACCTCAAGATGAGTAGCAAGAGCACTTGACCAGATATAGCAACAGTATTCAATACATAGATGAATGGTAGATTTGTAAATGTGCAAGATGGACTATGATGAGAAAAAAACCTTCTGGCATGATGCAGTGACCCAATTTTCCTTATAGTAGATGCAACTATTGATTTGATGTAGGCATTCCACTTCAAGTCAGTTGAGAACATGAGGCCAAGAAGTCAGTGTGTTGTTCTCCATGAGTCTAGCATCAGCCATGCTGATGGTGAGCTGGAAAGTTTCTCCATGGTGGTTAAATGAGAGCAGTTTCATTTTAGAGGCATTAAAATATATGAGCCATTTCCTGCCCTAGTTAACCTCTGATTGGAGGTCCTTTTCAAGAGCAGTGGGCAGGTTGAATTTGTCAACTTAGACAGATTTTCTATTGAAACAGGAGTAAATGGTGGTGTCATCAGCATAAATGCCTACTTGGAAACTGATGACATCAAGGAGATCATTGATGGAGACCAGAAACTGCATAGGATCCAGGAGAGAGCCTTGAGGGACATCGACATTCATGTGAAAGAATCTGGAAGCAAGCCCATTGAAAATGACCTTTTATTTCACGATTTGATAGGAACAATTGGATTAAACCAAACACACGTCCAGTAATACTGTAGCTCTGGAGCTTACGTAAAAGACCAGTGTGCCAAACCTTGTCAAATGCCTTTGAGATATCTCGAAACCACAGCAGGAAGCAGCAAGGCAATAGTTGTAGAGTTTGGAGAGAAGTGGAGCCAACTCAGGAGCATATTTCTTTTGGATGATGGCTAGGATCCCATCACCTCTTCTTGCCTTATGGGAGTCTAATTTCAAAATAATGTCTGAGACTTGTGATAGGGTTATGTACATATCACTCAGTAGAGCCTTTGTTCTAGGGGTGGGGAATCAAGTGTGGGTACTCCAATTGTGTTGAGTTGGAAAATAATTTCTGAGCAAAGCATTCAACCTTATCAGCTATAAATATCAGGACTTCAAATTGATTGAATAGAGGAGGGATAGAGGACTTGCTGTTCAGCACACTCTTGCAGAGCCACTAATAATCTCTAGAACCAAACATGCGAGATGCTTTATTTTGTTCCATTTTAACAAACAATAACTTCACTTCTTTGAGAACGCGCTTGCACTCGTTACGAGCCGAGACAGAGACATCAGTTGAAATCAGACATGTTGCTCTGGTACAGCCAGAAGTGATTCTTGTGGGCTATAGCAGCCATGCATGCAAGTGAAAACTAAGGAAAGGAATGCAGTTTAACTTGGTATTTCCTTGCTGGGATGAAAGCTTTGATGCCAGCTTTTGCCAAGGAAGAGACCTCAGACACACAATTATAAACAGGATGATTAAAAACTGCATTCCAGGGTCACCATGAAGGAAGTCATGGAACAAGTCATAATTCGCATGTTGATAACAGAAAGATATTCTGTTGGTAGTTTTTTGGTAGGGGAACAGAAAGAGATATGTTTATAGACTCTACGACATGATCAGGAGTTGCCAAGAGGATAACATGTAAGAGTGGTGTGGAGATTCGAGAGAGAGAGTTCTCTAGCCAGCAGAAGATGTTAACGGACATAAATTCCCAAGCCATGCATGTGGACATTAGAGTCCTTTCTAATGATAGGAAGATGAGGAATTGAGGATTCAGAGGAGGGGATTGAAGAGTTAAAATTAGTTTCATAGAGAGCTAGGATGTCCGGAGATTTTTTTGAAGAAGAATGATTCCACACTGCAGAAGTTGGTACGAATACCATGAATGTTGGAGAAAGAAAGGTTGAGGGGTTTAGGTGGTATTTGTTGAGCTGGTTTAGATTTATATCTTTGGTATCTTATCATCAGGGTATGTTGTTTTAGTAAGGAATGGCTTAGGGTAGTAGTAGCAGTCAGTTGTCTAATGTAACAAAGTGGGATGATTTGTCCAGTCAGTGAAAACTGAATCACATCCCTCGTTGTATGTTTACAAAGGTCTGCATTAGCTCAAATTGGAAAATCTCTTTTATTTGGTATGCTAAACTGAACAATTTGTTTCCTTGAGCATGTTTATAGCATTCTATTTTTATAAAATAATTTTTTTTTTTTTTTTTTTTTTTTTTTTTTTCACCTTTTATTTGTATCTTGATTTCTCATGTTTCCTTTTTTTTCTTTTTTTTTTTCCTTACAGATTTGTTAAAACTAGATTACCTTTTGCTCACCAGAATCCTCGAGATAAAATCCCCAACCCATCCTGCCATTATGTATGGGGTACAAAGGTATGACACTTTTTATTCACAATGTCTGTGGGTTTGTTTTATTTTTTTTGTTTTTTTTTTAAGGAGGAGTGGTGTCTGAGGTAACTGCAATCATTGCTCAATACAGTCTGTCAGTCATCAATGTTTCTTTGATACATTGTATCATTTGACTTCTGTTGTGGAGTGATTTCACAGTGGAGGCTTGTATTTGTACTAGGTTGGTCCTAAAATAGGTTCGACATACAAAACGTTAGGAACTTGATATAATAGGTATTACGCAGAGTAATCTAGTTGTGGTCGCTGATACTTTAGTATTCGACTAACTGTCGTCCGACACTGACTGACTGACTGACTGACCAACCCCCATGTTACTCTTACTACTCCTACTTATTTTAGGTGGGAGAGTCTATTAACTATAGAATAGGTGTGTTCCACTATAACACACACCCCTAAAACTTTACTCTATAGGAGTAAACAGTTTTCTTTATTTATCTTTTATTTTTTACAGGAAATGTGAAGAAAAAACAAAAACTTCATTTTTTTTTTTTTTTTTTTTTTTTTTTTTCATTTAGCAACATCGTAGCGTAGCTCCTACGTTTTTGATCCACTTTTAAATGATCAGTTGCCTTTCTTTTTCTCCTGGATTGGCAGGTAAAATTGTTGCAGGCATTGTTAGATCAAACGTATCGAAAATCACCTCCATTGGCGTTTCTTCCGTGGGACTGATGTCAATTACGCCTGAAAAACGTTGTCTGATCTGGTTACTGCATGTGAATTTTTTGCCTTTCTAATAATAACTAATTAACCTGTGCCACTAAAAATGATGGTAATATTTTAAATTTTTATAAAGACAATACAATTCCAAAATTCTGTCTATATTTCTGAGATTATTCTGTATTATGTACACTATTTACATTGCTCAGACTATCATCCTCATCTTTATCACAACGTTTCGGCCATTGTACACTCTGGCCTTCTTCAGGTGGTTGGAATGTCAAACTGAACCCTTTATTTCGCTTGCTGGGGTAGACTGTTCTAGTTCCATGTGCCATGTCTAATGGATGTCAGTTATCTCCCTTCTCCAAGTTCTCCACTACCTTAACTAGGTATGGAACTCATACTCTTTGAGTTCTGTCACTGGATCTAACTAACACCTTTATCCACTGTGCCCATGAAGGTCTTCCTACTTGAACTTTGTAATGAATCATAATTCTTAATTTAATGTTTTTAGAAGCATCCACGTGGGAGTCTTTCATTTGGAATACAGGGGAAAATAAGGATGATTCAACACTGGAAGTAGTATGGCATGTCTTAACAGTATAGGTCTGAACTGGTGGAACTAAAGAATGGTACTCATCTAAACATCTGCCATGGAAATAGCAATAGACTAATGATTGGCTATGGGTTAATTAGAACTAAAGTAAAGCATTATTATCTCAAAAAAAAAATAAACAAATTCTTACAATCTAAAAATATTTTCTGGCTTTAAATAACCTGCAAAGTGTTCAAAGCCATAAAAAACAAATCCAGAACAAGAAGAACAGTGGCTCTAAATATTGTGATTTTAATAACCTAGTTCAAGAAGAACAGAGTTTCAAAGATGAAATGATACAAATGCAATTTATTGAACGCTTTTCACAAATCATTAACATTAGAACAATCGATCTCCTGTTGTAATAATGTTGCTAGTTCTAATGAAATAGAACCTAAAGATGCGAACAATTATTTTCTAAATATGTCTTCTGTGGGTATGAACATGGTGTTTATTAACACTTTGGCTACTGTAGACATACTTATGTCTTTACAAAACTTACACTATCAATACATTTTTTCAAGACAATATGAAAATGTCGGTTCCTCGTCTTTGTACTATGAATCAACTAACATTATTTCCAAACCAGGGTAGACATAGAGTAGCATACAATACAGTTTTGTGATGTATTTTTATCATATTGTGTGTTGAGGCACCGTTTAGCTTAATTTATACTGCTGAATGGTGGCACCCATAAAAAATTGCTGCCAGTGTCTAAATGCTCAGAAATAGACATACATCTTATTTTTTCCAAAACAAGCCAACACAGATAGACAACAATGCTGTGAAAGTGTTAAAGAAAAATGTCCTGGAAGGATATACAGAAAATGCAACAAAAAGAATCTTTTTAATCAGTTTGTAAATTATAAAAAGAAAACATGAAAGGTAGAATGTGTTCAGCAACAACATTCTGATGTGGAAACAAATTTATTTATAGTGTGAAGCAAAGAAGAAAAACCCTAGGATTTACAAATATCAATTTAAGTATGTAAGCAGATACTAATAGTGAGGTGACATTCATTCCTCAGAACCTTTTTGGATATATATTGGTCAGCCTAAAGCTTTTCAATAGCAATCTAGAAGGTTGACAATTTAAAGAACTTGTTATTAAAATATTGGATGGTATGAAAGGCATTTGGTGAAATGAATACAAAATATTTCTTAACTGTAATTGCTGGGTATGTTTTAAAGAAAAAAAAGTTATAGTTTTATTGGAACCAATGAATTAAATGTTAATTGCATAAAATGAATTCATTCTGTTGCCCCTGATATTGAAGATGGCTATATGCTAAATAAAATAAGACCAACATAAAATTGAATGGTTTCAAATCTTGTAAATAAAGGGTGTTCAAATAACTTGGACTGAATATAATGTGAATAAAGTTTAAGCATCTAATGTTTTTTTTTTTTTGTTTTTTTTTCTTTCAGATTTAACAAGTCTTTGACAATTTCAATCATGGAAAGATTAACAATCAATGGGTTAAAATTTTTTAAGAGTGCACTTGGAAAAATTGTAAATTCCAACAAATTGGGTAGGTGGCAGATGTGAAGACACCATTGCGTGCTCATTTATGCTGTTCAGCTGAAAACATTGCTGCAGTGCACGAGAATGTGGCTGAAAATCCAGACACCTCTATTTATTATCACATGCAGGAATTGAACCTCTCCACGACAACGTTACATCGTTTCCAATTGCACTCTTGGTTGGTTGATTATGTTGACCAAAATAAAATCACAGAGTGCGTGAAATGCATTTCTATTTGAACGTCTATTTTCGTAATAGGCTTTGATAACTTTACCATGTTGTTTGATTGTTAATCTTTCCATGGTTGAAATTGCTAAAGGCTTAATTTGTTAAATCTGCAAAAAAAAAAAAAAAAAAGAAAAACTCATTAGACACTTAAACTTAATTCACATTTAAAATTGGTCCAAGTTATTGGAACATCCTTTATATTTGTGTCCCCCTTGCAAAGGCATAATGCCTTGAAAGACTATTGGGACTCAAACTGACCTCAAGTAGAATACATACATATGATCCATTGCTAAAAATGCAGCTAAAATGGTCGGCTCTCTGTACCGCTCCAGTAAGTGCCTGACTCCACATGCTATCCTTTACCTTTACAAGAGCCAGATCAGGCCAGAAATGGAGTACTGTTGTCACATTTGGATGGGAGCTGCCCAGACCTCACTCTCTAGCCTTGATAAGAGTACAAAAGCATCTCTGAAACCCTTGTTAAGATTGTGGCTACCGATGCTGAATCTCGGTAGGATTTCCAATTCTCTCAGAATTGCCTCGCTGTATAGGTTGAATAAGTTCGGTGAGAAGATGCACCTTGCCTATTTCTATTTTTTTATATTTGCTGAACTCGTTCTCTATGTGCATACATACTGTTTGCTGCCAGTACAGGTTCTTGATTATTCTAATATCTTTCCTGAATATATCAAAATTTCTGAGCAGTTCCAACAGGTCCTTGTGGCGTACTTTGGCGAAGGCCATTGTGAAGTCTATGAAACATAGGTACACATCCTTCTGCATCTGTTTCGCTTTGATAACATTCTGAGCATGAATATCGTGTTCCTTGTTCCAGTGTCTTTAACAAACCTGCACTGTTCTTGTCCTATCTTTGGCCTGATTCTGCTGTGTACTCTATTCATCAGAATTCAAATGATGAGTTTTGTTATGTGGCTCATTAAGCTGATTGTTTAGTACATTTGTCTAAATTGTTACCAAAAGAAACAAGTTTGAGAATCAAATTTGACGCAAAGAAAATGTGAACAGGAAGAATGATAGAATAGAAAATGTGCCTTTGATGTGTCTTAGAATAGAAAATGTGTCTTTGAAAAAATAAGAGGTTTTTTAAAGTTTGCAGGCGAATAATGACCTGTATCTCTAGATTTTGTTGTAAGTGTGAAAAATGATAGAATATATTAAGACTTGTTTGGCTTTATATCAAAAGTTCAGTCTGGCAACTCTGTCCTTTTACTTTCATATTTCTGCCATGGATGGCTAGAAAATGTACAAACATGTGAACAACTCCTAGATATTTGGCCAGATGTCATCAAATTTGTGAACTTAATTAAAAAAAAAAACAGAAAAATTTCTTCAGAACAAGTCCTTCTCTGTGCTGCTGTTAAACGTGAATGACATTTTATTTCCAGTAAAACTGCAGATTTTTGTCTTTTGTGAAATACATCAAAGCATTTCTGATGAAATATCAGAGTGATAAACCATTGCTTCCTTTCCTTGCAGATGTTCTTTTTAGTGTGATCATGAAACTGTTAAGAAGATTTGTAAAGGAAGAGCACACTAAAAAGTTACATTTTCCAAACTGAATGAATTTGTAAGAATTTTGTCAAACCCAAACATGCATAAAGATGCTGCAAAGATCGATTGTGGATTTCTGGCAGATAGGGCTATGCAAAATTTATCAAAAAAAAGGAAATATGTTAACAAAAGATCTGTTTGTATGCAGAATTGCATCAAAGACAATGTTTATCACCATCATTGAGAAACTTCTGGCAAAGTCTCCCCTTAGATACCTTCTGTTAAGGTCACTTGCATGGCTGAACTCTGGATCCATTTGTGAAAAAAATCTGCCACAGAAGACAACCTAAAAAGATGTCTTTCTTGTATGATGGACAGAAAACAAGTCAGCAAGTTTGATTGTGATGACTTCATTAGTCAATACAAAGAGTTCAAGGAGGACTTCTCTGCAATGCTTCCAATGCCAAAACAGCATACAACCAATACCTCAAGGCTGAGAAGAAAAAAGCCAGGAAGAAGCAGACAAAAATGGAAATCCATGCTTATGGAAATTGAAGAACTGAATACCAAAAAACAATAGATTTGCTCAAGTCAGCTAACAGTTATGCAAAGAAAGCTGAACAAACTCAGAACTTCACACTTATCGCAAAGTCCATAGAAATATATATCAAAATTTTAAGAGGAGCTGAATGCTAAACTAGATGAACTGAAAAAATGTTAACATCATTGTGTTCTGTGCCATGTGCAATAAAAACCATGAATAGTAAGGGTAGCTAAAATGTAGTCTTTTTGTAAAAATTTCTATTTATAATTCTGTTCATTAAAGCCATTATACTTTAACTTCACAGGATATGTGCAGCAATCAAGAATTTTTGTGACATTCACAAACCACGAATAGTCTAGATAGATGAAATATGTAGCAGTAAGAATTAAAGTGTGTTATTCAAGTTAGTGTAGAACTCCAAACTGTGTAGAATGCTTGTTCAGTAATTTATATAGCAGCTCAATTACAAAACTAAATAAACAAATTGCAAGTCCAAACTTGTAGATCCAGGGGCAGAAAAAAATGTCGAAATCACAAATTGCAGGTACAATGTCAAAAATTCAAATACACGTAAACAGTCAGAAATCCAACACACAATGTAAGTCACTCGCAAGCTGACAGACTAGGTAGAAAAATAAACTGCTTTCCAGCTTAAGAACACCAACCACTTTTATCAACAGAACAATTTTTTCATTGGTTGACAGTTGGAGAGGACAAACAATATTAATATATCCAAGATGCATTTATGGCAACAGCAGTTTTGGTTATTTTGCCTTTGGCATATTGTACAGGACATACGTGCCCTTTTTCTTGTTAAGTGACTTTCTCTCTTGCCATAAGGCTACACAAAATGTGTAACATAAGCAGGTCTGGATTCAGTTGTATTTTAGCCTTCAACACTTTGATTTCTTCACTGCTTTCAACTAATCAATGTGACATGAATTATTGGAACCAGCTGTAGCTTTTCTTTGAACATCTGTCAAACTATTTAAAGATAAATCACAGAGTTTGTCTTTTTGAAATTGATGACCATTCACTTTGTACGTGTGTCAGTTTCGCTCCTTGAAACTTCTTAACGTGGTCCTGGAATTTTTTTACACAGATCTGTGGGAAGCCTATATAAAGTTTTGCTGAATTTGATGAGAACTGATTGGTAACAGACATCTAGTTTGTTGTGTCTTGACAAGCATATAATTTATTAAGAAAGAAAAAACATTTTTAACGGTTTCATTTTCTTGTTTTAAAAATGATTCATTTACTTTTTTTTCTAGGCTCTAAACTCTTCTTATAGTGCCATCTTCAATTTATATAGTGGTTTCATTGGTGCTCCCCATTTCCGCTCCGTTTGCCGGCTACTGGGCTACCAAGGAATCGCTGTTGTAATAGAGGAGTTGTTGAAAATAGTTCGAAATCTGGTAAGTTCTTTTCTACTTGTTGTTTTATTTTTTTCAAACTCACTTTTTATTCCCTTTTCACCTCCAGGATACTTCACCCTTACTATCTAATCATCCCCACCCCCAATAGGTTAGTGGGGATATGTGTAAGAATATATTGATAGGTCTTGCTAGATAGTCACTTTTTTTTTTTTTCTGGTAGTATTACAATTTCTTGTGACAAGACAAAGAATTAAAAAGTAACAAAAGTACTGAAAGGAGGCAGTTTGATATTTTTTTTTTTTTTCCTACAAATATGGAAATAAAGATGAGAAAGAAAATGGTTGATTAGTGATAACACCATAACAAAGGGAGGCTACTCAAAATCTGACAAAGTAACTAAAGAACAGCTTGGCATGGGTGCTTCTTGGTCAGGATGATAATTTTTCAGCGCCTCCTTGTAGATAACAAAAACTTTTGGCACAATTGTCTTGAATTTATATGCAATTTTTCTTCATCCATTTCTTTTCCTGTTTTTAATTTCCATATTTTCCTTCTGAAAAATTCAATAACTGCCCTCCACGTCCTTAATTGTAGACTTTCTATTTTGTCTGTTCTGCATCAAATGTCTCTTCCTGGCCTTTTTTTTTTTTCTATTATTAAAAAGAAAATATTTTTAATATCCAGTAACCTTGATTGAAACAGATAAGAATATTTTGTACGAGTTGAGTCAGTGGTGCCTAGCATTTATTTGTAGACATCCATTGTTTGTAATTAGAACTCAGTGGCAAAACATGGGACCAAAGGCAAATAGAGTTAAGCATTTATCAAAGTTCTCAAGATAGCAATAAGCTGGCTTTTTATTACTTTTTACTTGTGAATAGATAATAGATTCACTTTAGGTACTTTCATTCCATCATGTATGCTGCACAATAGTCACCAACAAAAGAGAAAAATAGTTTGAAAACTTTAAACAAAACAATATTTATATAGGATATATATATATATATATATATATATATATATATATATATATATATATATATATATAGTTAGCTATAAGGACAAAAATTCTGTCCATTTTTTCTTTTTTTTTTTTTTTTTTTAAACTTAACCTATTACTGATGGCATTTTGAGACCTTACAATTCTTGCAAATTTTTTTTTTTTTTTTTTCTAACAAAATCTGAGAGGAGGTAAGAAGAAATCATTCTGACAGAAAAGATCTGAAGGTTGTAGAAATTAAAGCTTTATTCACCAGATAACTACGTTTTTAGCTAGAAACCACTTTTTGCTTTATTTAATATCTTATAATTTTTAATATTACTAAATTATTTTAGTATTGGTCAGCAAGTCTCTGCCAGGGCTTAACTAAGTATTGTAACCTAGGAAAAGGTTACTGAATAAGAATAACCAAAACGAAGGTTGAAAATGGAACAATATTTATAACGGAAACAACATACAAGATTTGCCAGCAGCATGTAGTAAGTAATCAATTGCTAGGAGTGAGCTAGAAGTGAATCACAAGTGAAATCCCAGAGCGAAGATATTCACTAACCACCCCACGTTTATTGTGGGGTATCCGAGCCCGTAGGCTCAATCAAAAATTCCCCATAGACCTCGTAAAAACGGGGTCGGGTAGCTGTCTACCACCCCAGACAAGACTCTGCCCTTCGGCATAGCCTCGTCTGGGTTCCTCTCTGTCCGGAGGCAGAGAGTTTGACAAGCACACTGTGGAAGACCACAGTGAATCCAACATAGAGTATATTCCACTGTATTTATAAGGGTTGGGACATATCCATTATAGTCCATAGGTATGTTATAACACTAAGAGAATAGCTAAGGAATGAAAATGGTGTTCGTGGTAGTGGCTGATAAGAAAGAAAGGAGACAATATAGATTTTTGATTTAAGAAACAAGTAGCTGTTTCCTGGGGGTGGGGGACAACTTTTGGAACTACTCATGTAAATAATTACTCCACCTCCTTCTCATTTATATCCATGCAACCCTTTCACATCATGCTGTTATGTTGTCCATCTTATATTGTAATAAATTTTTTGACTTCAGTTCATCAGCATCAATTTTTAGTTTTCAAATTCAATGCATTTTCTAGAACTTAAGATACACTAACTTAAATACATTCATTTATCTTTATACCTGCTTCTTGTTCGTGGAACCAACAGACAATTTGCCGAAACACCTAACTACCTTTTAAACAAGATAAAATCTCAAATAAGGACAACAAAAAGAAAAACACCTAAAGGCAAACACCTACCTACTGAGTAAAGTGCTCAATGCCTAGATTACCTAGGGAAAGTTATGTATTCATGTCTTCTACAGAACAACCATAGATATATAGTAGGACAAACTGGGCTCTGTGGCCTTGGTTGGCAACCAGCCTAGGAGAAGGTAAACTTTGAATTAAAACCAACATTGGCAAAGGGCAGATGAGCTTCTTAGAGAGTCAACAGCCAGCAAGCAACTAAAAGATGGAAAACAAAAGCTTGTGATTGTAGCATCATCTGACATGTGGCACTCAGTGCACCAGTACAGGGCGTGGTACTATGATGGAGAATGGACATTCCAGGGCACTGGCAATTGACCACTTTAACCAATTTACTTATGCAGGTTGTCCAACAAAAACTGACCTATCATTCTCTACAGGAAAATCCATCCATATTTGTCCATGTATATAGAAAATGAAGGTGTACTGAAAGGTTCTCATACTGACCCATTTGAGAATACTTTATTCTAAGTGGCACGGTCCACTTGTCTAGAAATTCAGCATTCAAAATCCTGTCTTTATACCTGGTCAAACTCTAACCTCTGGCGCATGAGGTTGGCGACTTAAGCTTAGGTAAGTCTGATGCACAGTCACTGTGCTACCCAGTGAAGATTGAACTCATTACAGTATCAATTTGGTCTGTTATGCCTAAGCACCAAACTAAGGTGGGTGCTTGTAAGTATTTACTGTTATGAGAGAAAAGGTGACAAAAGAACAGTGTGGTTCACTAACAAAACAAAATTAAACTTTACATCATATATTCATTTAGCAGGTTCAATTATATGAAAATAGAAAGATAAAGATAATAGTCTGATTAGGTTTTTAATAATCTTTGTATAAGCACCTTTATTTAGAGTGCCTGAAGTGATGCATGTTGTATAAATTGAATATTTTCTTGTCTCCACCAATAGATCCTCCCTTATTATTGTTGTGTTGCTCTTTACTCCATTATTTCAATATGTGATTCTATATAGACACTCCTCCCACTTTTGTAATATTATTTCCAAGCTTTTAAGGGATTGTTATAGATTCATTGATACTGTTTTCTTGATGCCCATTTTTGTCTTTCTTGATCGTAGTTCTTTTTTGACACTTAATTCATTCAAAAACATGACCTGATTGTTTGTAATTATTTTTTTTTTTTTTTTCTCTAAAACATTAGAAGAAAAGTTTTGCTATATTCACTGCTTTCTCTTTTGGATGACTTAATTCATTTTGTGAAAATATTATTTGGAATGTATACTTATTTTACAATAAAGAGAAAGTTCCCAGCAGTTTTGACTTTGTATATCCTCAAATCGTCTGCTGCTAAAAATGAGTTTTCACAGCAGAAAATGATTGAAATGGTCTGATTTGTTGTTAACATTTCTTTTATAGACTTCAACAGATTTATTTTTTGTCTGGAATCAACAGTCTCTTTCTCTTATAGAAGAAACTTAATAATTATGCTTAAAATGCCACCAAATAATTCCAGTTTCAACATCTAAAGAGGAGATTGATTTTCACCTGAGGATGGTCAGAGATTGTGTTGTGAACTCTATCAACTGCTATGAATAAGTTTACAATCCACTTTTTTGCAAAATGCATATCTCAATCCTTTATCAAAAGCCATATTAATTATTTGGATTGCTGTTTTGTTTTCATTCATTCTGTTTTCTTCTATAAGATCATTATCTGAATCCTTTTCTTCCCCATAAAATACATTTTGTCATGTATATGAACAGACAATAGCCTAAACAAACAATACAGTCATGTTCTTATTGAATTACTATATATTTGCATTTGTCTTGATGTTTTTTTTGTTTTTTTTGTCTTTGCATATTATTTTCCCTCTGAAAAGACAACAAGCACTAATATATGAATATGAAATACCATTCCTTCCACTGTAATTTGGGGATTAGAAAGTCTGTATCATTCTTGGAGAATTTCCTTATTTGGGCTGCTAGCCTCATCCATTTTCATCAGTTTGGATTCCACATCAGTCAACTCAATACTTCCAAAGAATGACATTGAAATTTCACTTTTTAGATGAGTATACAGGCCTAATAAGAAACTTTTCCTTATGCTTGATGATTCCTTCTCTCCAAATTGCTGCAAAGTCACTCTCAAATAGACCTGCTTCAGTAAATGAAATTTAGAAGAGGCATTCTCCAAAATAATCCTTCTCAATATCAGAAGAAAAACATAAACACAATTTTTAGATTTTCTTATTGCTGTGGTTTTCTTTTCTCCTTTGTGTTGATGTTTTCCTTCAAGGACAATCACAAATGGCTCAGCCCTTGAAATCCAGGATAAACCATTTTTTTGTATAGTAATGATGATTTGGCTATTAGTGATTTAAACCTTTAAAAAGTATATATCTATAGTTTGCTGAAAAGTTCCAATTCGGTTCATTATATTCATTTATGTGCAATTACACTTAGGAATAGCATGAATTCACCTCTTCTCCTCTCATCTATGGGTTAATTAGTAAGATTTGTATCATTAAATCATTATCTCCCCAAAAAAATTCTTACAATCTAAAAATATTTTCTGGCTTTGAATAACCTGCAAATGTTTGATAATCCGTAGAAAATGAATCAATGAAATACTGATTAGCTGCACACACGTCTTTTAAGTTTACTTAAATTTTCTGTAATATAAATGTTTAGAAACTACCGTGACCACAAAATGAGGGATCAGTTTACATATTGATTGTAATATAGAAGTGATCCTCTACTTATATCTACATTATAATTTGTTTATCAAACTCTGATTAGG